CAGAGAGACAGCCCTGGCTGTAACCTAATCATGAACTGGAAGAGAAGAAAAATCATCTGAACACTGCGTATAAAAGTAAGGAGGGAGAAAATGACAGTTGCAGACTAGAGAGAGGCAAAGGCATGGAGGGAAGCCAAGTATTTAACATTTCAGGATAGAAAAGATTACTGTGGCAACAAATTACTTGAATTCCCCTAAAGGGAGTCATGTTCACTTTTAAAGGAAACATGCATAATAAAGCAATACTCATTTACAACTACACTTTAAAGAGAAAAATGAGCATTAAAGAAAGAGCACATGGTTTCACTAAATTTATTGGTGAAATTCTGATAACTGAAATTCTAGCCATACATGAAGCAGTCACAGCAGATTTTATCTAAATTATTAAAGCTTTGCATTAAACACCTTGTCTTATGAATGCTTTGGAAAGCTCTGTGCAAATCTATGTATGTGATTGATAATAAAAATAACAAGTAATATAATCTTGAAACATAAACAGCATTTTGCTTTTCCAATGTCTCTACTTGATTGTTCACTGGAGGACACTTCCCCCCTCTTTTTCTTTTTTGGTCTAATATTGTAGGGGAGGTTTAATCCTTTTTTTTTTTTTTTTTGGTCAACTTAGCAGTCTATTTTGTTATTGCAGCATTTGTCATTTGCCAAAAGGCTGTGAAATAGTCAGGTTTTTTAAGAATGCGTTGTTCTATTAGCTAAATCAATTCCTTCTGATACTGTTTGTCTCCATTTGTGGGTATGGCTCCAGCAAGGTCAGTAATTAGCTCCCAGGATAACGCTCCAGGGCCCTGCCGTGGGAATTTTACTGAGGAGGATGTCAGATTGTTGACCACAGCCTCACACAACCCCTCTACCCCCAAGAATTTCCTTTAAATATTATTAATGATTCAGTGCTGCATATGGAGATAGACTTGACCAGTGACAACATTTTGATATCTCTTCTGTTTTCATTACCCTGAATGAAGAATACATTCAGATGAAAGAATTTCAAACTCTTCAGTCATAAAGTATTCTTAATTTTATTTCTTTCACTAAAATAAACATCAAAGATCTTCCTTGGCTTTTACCTAAAAATGACTGTTCCTATGAATCATTAAAAAAGCCTCTTACTCAGGATATTATCTTTACTGTATTAAAAAGGGGGAGTTGAGGAGAATCTTTGCTACGAACCCACCTGCTGCTGCTGAAGAGGGCACTCTTGGCTTTCTTTTACAATTCCCCTAATTATTTTCCTCATTCTTACCCTCTGCCTGGCCCCACTGCACAGCATTAGCAGGCCCATTTGTAAAGTAGTAGTAACACAAAGTGAAACAATGCCATAACTGTCATCCAAATTGTTCTGTACAGGGTAGTGGAAGTGTTCAGTAATAAATGATATAAAAAGGTCTTTTATTGACAAGCTGCCATGTGCTGTTTGCATTAGAGAATATGAGAAGATGATGGCTGCTGCCCCTAGGTCCCAGTGGCATTCAACTCAGTGAGATAGCAGAAAATGCTTCAGTTTGCTTAAAGCATTGATAACACCTCTAAATAATTAACTGAGGACTTCCTGTCTTCAATTACTTAATGCTTTTTTTAACATCTTGAGAGGATTATAAGCAATTTATGGATTTCACATGATGAGCACATTCACCGCTATTCCCACAAAGCATTTGTGGGATCATGTTTCCAAAGCTTTGATGTAATTAAAAATAAGCAGCAAGACAATGGTGCAGTGGCAAGGTGCTCGCCTTCTCGTCTGTTATTTGCGAGACCCTAGATTCAAAGTCTCAAGAAATACTAATGCTACAGCTTCATTAATGTTCAACTGTTGCTCAGGGAAAAGCAGACAATTTTTGAAAAAAAAAAAAAAGAAAAAAAGGAAGATGGGAAAATCGAAACATAGATCCACAGGGAATACGACAAACAGTTCAAACATTATATGAAGTAAATTTGATTCTTTTATTGTATTCTTTTAATTTAGAAAGCAATAACTATCCACATTGCTAAATCACTGTCATGAATTCCACATTATTACCCAAGGAAGCTCCTGCAGAAAAAAGCAAAAGATTTGATTATGACTGTCAGAAGGAATGATCACTTATTTCACTCCTGGCTTACCATGGCAGCATTGGACAATGGCTTAACAGAACAGGCACACTAAAGGAAAAAAGATCCTTGTTTCTCAGGAATAAATTTCATTTCCTCTCACTTCCAAATGGTAAGAAAACCAGTATTGTTTGCATTAAAATGAAGATATGACTGCCTTGTGGAAGCAGAAGTATTTTTCAGTGGGTTCGATAAATCATGCCTTGTTGGTAGGTTGGTATTATAAACTCACAACAGCAATTCTAAAACATGTACCACCACCTGGCATACTCTAGCTAATATCTCATGTCCAGGAGCACTGAATATGGAGACAGGAGTAATACACTGTTGATGAATTTCACACTTGAGCATGACATTGTCAAACAGGAACAGCAATCTTACTCTTCTGTGACTACAGCAGAGACAAACTCTTTTAAAGCACCAAGGGATCCACTCTGACTCAGGACTCATGCTTTGAGGGGTGGTTGAGAATGCCAAATATGCTCTAGAGGATTTATGTGCCCTAAGTCAACTTCTATTCTTTGGCTGGCTGTCATATGGTACGTATAACATATGAATCTTGAAATTTCCTATTAGCGTGGAAGAAAAAAAAAAGGAAAAAATAATGCATTTGTGAGATACAAAAACTTGATGAGCAACCTGAGGTCAAAGAGTGAAAAAAAGAGATCCCATAATGTTTATGTTTATGGCCTATGTCCAACAGAAATATTTCTAAGAATAACTTTGCTTCAGCGTAACATGCAAAAATAACTTAAAATTGAATATGTAAAAATAATACATTTGAGGTCTGAGTCAAACCTTCCCCCAAAATCCCTTAACTAAAGCTTCTTTCAACAAGTATTGAGAAAATGGCTATAAGCAATATATAAGATTATAAACAGAATTCAGGATCTTTCCTGTTCTGTCTTCCTTTCCTTTTTATTATCTCAGGCATAAAATACTGGATCCTTCTCACTCCCACATTGCTACACATTCACAACTGCATTACTGCACATCAGTGATGTTAAAAGAGAGAGTTGAATCTGTATGAAGGGACGGCAAGCCTACACAGAATATCTGAGTCCTTGAGCACACCATAAGGATTGCATCTTCAATTGAGCTGGATAGATTTATTTTAAAAATCTGAAATTAAATCTATTAATATTTTAACAAACAGCAGTTAGAAATGAAAGAGATTGAAAAAAAAAATTAAGATGTGTATAGTCATGATAAAGCATTCCAAACCGTGCACAGTACTGGGGATTTAAAAGTTACTGACAAGTGGCTTTTTTAATATATTAATACAGTCTTATATCTTAAGGACAGGACATTAGCCTGTCAAAGAGCTCTGCCTCCTTACCTGATACTGTGTGCTGCATTCTGCCTGCAGCATCAGTGTATATAAGTCCTTTCCCTACTTGACTGATCTGGTACTCTCTGATGACACCATTTGGTTTCTTGGGTGCAATCCAGCTTAAATGTAATGCTGTTGAGTTCAGAGCACTGACGTCTGGTGGCTGAACACTCTCTGGGACTCCTTGGACAGTGACTGCAACTACCTGAAGACATATGAATTAAACAGCAATTTAATGTAATAGTACACTAGATACCATGATCAATGAGAATGTCACTTTTGTTTTAAAATGTTGTTTGGGCTGGCATATCATTACCAAGGGTCTGGAGAACTAGTTACTTTTTTCCTCCTTTTTCACAATGAAATCTGACCTTGAATACATTACATAAGTCTATGTCTACAATTTATCACAACAGGTTCACTATGTTTTAGCTGCAGTGTATGGCACAGGGTGAAACAACAGAAACTGTATTGCTTGAAAACTCTTGATAACTCTCTTCCATATGGTTTGTCAGTGTCTCTGCATTTTAACTGCCTGATTTCATATATTTTAAGCACCAGTAAACATGGGGCTAAGCCTCCATATATCCCATGCAATCTGAACTCTATTGTAGTTATTTGCAACTCCATACTTTTTTAAGGAAGCTAAAGATTTGAAAGATAGAATAACTTTGCACTTGTTAAGTTCTTTCTATAAAAAAAAGGAAAAAGCTAATTTTCTATTGACACATCTCCACCATCACCTACAGAAGAGGCATCTCCAAATTATACCGGTTTAATAAGTGAGTCAGACCGTTTTCTCTTTGAGAATCACTTTTCTTTTTCTGTTATTACCACCATAAAGTATTTATATTAGGCTGTAAATACAAAATGTGCCCTCTATAATATATTGTCTTAGTGCATTTGGTGGAATCAGTCCCTACTTGCAGACTTCAGTGTTTGCAACAGTAAACTCCTTAATTATAGGCTAGTGAAATAAGCAGGATTTATTATCTTGGGTTGATGGTTGCAGCAACTGTGCCTACATAGCTTCCAAACCACAGCTCTGGGTGCAGGCAGAGGACTATGCACCTATCTCCATCCATCTACATTAGTGTTTCTTATTTTATACTTCTGGCTGAGATTTTCATGAATATGAAAACATTTAAATACCTGCAAAAAATAAACTTTTAAATCCCACATATATTATAATTACAAAGCAGAGTCATTATTCCCCACCTCTGCCCCACAGACCTTACACTTGTAGTCCTAGAAATTCATTTTCATAGAGACAAGGATAATATTGTGGAAAACAGGCTACTTAAGAAGTAATTTTTGCAAATTATGAATAAAGCAGCTACTTGACAGAATAAGAACTAGAGCTGGTTAAATAGCAATGCTGGTGAAAGGCATCCATCATTCAAAGTGATACAAAAGGAAATGAAGCAGTGACAAAGGGAGGTAAGGGATTGTTTGCTTAAAACTGAAGCCGAGGCAGGTTGTGCACAAAGGGACAGTAAAGCCTGAAGCAGGAGTGGTCATGGAAAGCCAGCAAAGGGTAATATAGTGAAAGGAGGCTCTTCCACTAGAGTGGAAAAGTAAGAAGGTTGTTGAACAAATTGATAGTCTATAACTAAAGCAGATGAACTAAGAAGTACCAATGAAGAAGAGGCTATAGACCTCCTAGTGAGAAGCAAAAATTTAATTTCCAGGCTTAGAGAAAGTGCATTTTAATATTCCTTACTCTATTCTGTCATGTACAGCTTTCTCTTTAACAAACATCAGTTCCTACAGTGCAATTTCAGCTTTGCCAAGACTGAGATACTGCTTTCTTCCTCCGTTTGCTTGTATCAACCTTGGGTTCCAAATAATCATCTGTCAGTAGTTGAATCCAAATAAGATTATTGATGTTTTTTACTTACTCAATAATCAGCATGTCTTCAAATTACACCTTTCCAAAAGCGTTTTTATGTTACCACACTGGCTAATAAAATTCTGGCACCAGTTCCATAAAGACCAATTCACTAACCTTGCTGCTGTCTGTGCAACCAGCAACAGTGCAGGCTCGCAGCTGGTATGAATATTCTTGGTATGGCTGGATACCACTTGTGTCTGTGAAGCTCATTTCTGTTCCTCGAAAATACTCAATTCCATTTCGGAGAATGATATAGTGAATAATGAGACCTATTGCAGAAAGAAAGTTTTCCCTTTGGTTAGCTGAGTAATCCTGTGTGATGGTAGAATAACCTACTCTGCATACAGAAAATATTAGATGAAATAACTGACCACAGTAAGAGACAATCATTCTGCTTAAACGCCTAATGGCAATTACCAGATACTTTCCTCAGTATCTGTACCAGCATCTCAGTAGATCACAGTTTTTATTGAGACCTCTTCCAAGTTTCCTCACTGTTTGAAAATAATAGGCAAGATTTCCTGAAAGAAACATGAGTACCACCACCCCTATCCCCAAATCCCCACATACTTTTAAAGATCATTGCCATTTTCTGATCATATTTACACACTTGTTATTACAACTGCTCTCAAAAGAGGACTCTTGGCACTTCACAGAGACATACAGAATTGTCTTCTGTGAAGTTGGACTCTACTCTTATTTGCAATGAAAATGGTATCAACCTAGAGCAAAATCTTCTTGCAGAGTTTGGGAACATGTATATTTCAGTGACAGGGTTTAATATGTTTTGTGATTTTGGAACACTGTCAGTGGAGAGACAGAACATACACTTTTAAAAAAAATATATCAGTACCATTTGGTTGAAGTGGTTCCTCCCAGTTTAGAAGTATCATGTCTTCCCGATTATCTACTTTGGCCCATTTTGGTGGACTTACACCCTGTGGCACATCTTGTTTAGTGACAGCTCTGCTAATTTCACTGACACCTCTTCCATAGCTATTCCAAGAAGCCACTCTGTACTCGTATGTGACAAAAGGTTCGAGGCCCACATCTAGAAAAAGCAAGTTACATATAGATCATCTCAGTCTTATCAAAATAAAAAATAACTAATTTTTTTCTGCATTTAAGGACAGATAGAAATGGAAGTTGTTCCTTTAGACAAGGCCATTTTCAGATATAGCAGTACTTTTATCAACTTTTTCTGAAAGCACGTTTAGACATTATGTGCTCCCTAAATTTTGCTACTCATTGCATTTCCTTAAAGGTTCTGCCATGATTCACAGATTACTTCTTAAAAGAATTCTACTTCCTACAGTTCATAGAATCATAGAACAGCCTGGGTTGGAAGAGACTTTAAGCACCATCTAGTTCCACTCCCTCTACCATGGGCAGGGATACTTTCCACTAGATCAAGTTGCTCCAAATCCCATCCGACCAGGCCTTTAACACTCCCAGGGATGGGGCACCCAAAACTACTCTGGGGAACCTTTTCCAGTGTCTTACCACCCCCATAGTAAAGAATTTCTTCCTAATATCTCATCCAAACCTACTCTCAGTTTAAAGTCATTCACCCTTGTCCCATCACTATCTGCCCTTGCAAAAAGCCTCGTCAGCCCCCTTTAGGTACTGAACAGTGGTATAAGGTCTCCCTGGAGCTTTCTCTTCTCCAGGATGAACCACCCCAGCTCTCTCAGCCTGTCTTCACAGGAGAGGTGCTCCAGACCTCTGACAATCTTTGTGGCCCTCCTCTGGTCTTGCTCTATAAGATCCATGTCCTTCTTCACATTGCTTCACATTTGATTAGAATACCTGGTAGCACTCAGAACATCTTTTTCTTCAGAGCAAAGTAAATATACCAGCAAATCACCGATCAGGTATGCCAGTTTTCCTTACCTGTAAATGAATACTGTGTTGGACTTCCTGTGTAGACAGTCTCCTCTTCAGCTGGACACACACCTGCTTCTACCTCTGTTTCTTTAGCACTCTGTGAACCTTTTATCCATGCACAGATATTCTTCCTAGGATCAAAGTCACACTTTCCACAATGTGCTGTTGCCTCCATAGATAAAGGGCAAAGGATATTAGCCTTGCATTCTTCTTTTACCTAAGGAATACACATGCAAATTTAAACGTATTTCCCATATCTTCTTTCTTTACAAATGCTTCCATTAGTATTTCCCTATCTTTATAAAACAAAAAATTAGGCCACCACCTGGAGTATATTTCTACCATGTGGAAGACCCTTTCAGCCTTTGGCCTGTCTACTGCCTTTGATCATTAATGCTTTTATAATCCTTTCTAAAAGAACAGTGTTTTTTTTTTTTTGTAGGATCCTTAGATGAAAGCATCAGAAATTTTAACTGCTGCAAGCACAAATGGCTAGATTTGTTGAAGACAGAAGAGTCTAGAATCTATGAGAAGAGGATTTTACCCAAGAATTTGAACATTCTGTTCCTGCAAAGGCCAATATTCTGTGGCAAATCAGTAGCAAATGCCCAGCCCCTCATGCAGCTTGCCAAGTACACAAGAGGGCTCTGTGCAAGTCCTTGGCAGCTTTCAAGGCTGAGAACTCTATCCATGGGCTCTATAAATCATGTCCTCTACCACATCACTCCTAAACAGAAGTTTTGCTGCAATAAGAGAATCTCTGCAAACATTGATGAAGATATAAGATTTAACCCATAAAGAACAATTCACAGAAACAGAAATATAACTGAACATCCAAAACTTTCCATTGAAATCCATGAAATAATATTTTTGCCAAACCATATGTTAGAGAGCAATAATTCTCATAAAATATAGCTTGTTGCAGAAAGAAATGTACTGCCATATTTGCAACAAATACTTCTGCCCTATAGGCTATAAGCTTCAGAAGGAAAACCAAACAAATTATATCTAATGCTTCCTTAATTCACCTATTGAAATTAGGTTCTTAGCTGATTATGAACCAGCTAATTTAATTTCCCAAACTGGCACTTTCACAAAAATTACGTTTTGATAGATATCAATATAGGATGTAGGATATAGATGGATTGGATTCCCATATAAAGTAGCCCCAGAATGTCTCAGACTATCAGTCCTTTTAATGTTAGTAAATCTATACATATCAGAAAGCCAGCAGTATCTCTTTTCTACTGCGGGTAAGTGAAATACAAAGCACTTCCTTTGTTTATACATTATACCTAAGGCAGGGATCTAGTGTGTTATCTACCAGAATTCATTAACTTATTCTCAGCCATTTTTTCCCTTGCATGAAGTACTAATACAATGCATTGAGGAACTGTAGCTGACTCATCACAACGCTTGGATTTTCTCTACGAGAAAATTATTCAGTCTGAAAATGAAATGACATGAAAACCTTGACATGAAAAGGAGAAGATGTAAGAAATATTTCTGTATTAACTTAGCAGATGAACAAAAAGGATACAGGAACATCTGCATATGGCGGGATGGGGTCTATTTCACTTTACTGGCAAATTTCACAATATCTTTCTGATCTCTGTATTGTAGAATTCACAATATTCAACCCTCTTTTTTTTCTCTCTCACCCACTTTCTTTCTCTCTTATTATAAATATAAAAACAATTTTATAAAAAGAATATACATATATATCCAAACAAGGTTCCCATCCTTTGAAATGTTTATTTTCTTAAACAAAAATTGTAATAATAGTTGACAAAATTTTTACAGTTTACGCATAACACCAAGATGCTAATTCTTGATGATTTCTGTTGTAGTTGCAAGACTTTGCAGCTTTGAAATTTTGGCAAAATTGTCTCATGCTGATGCCTCTAATCACTAGGCACTCTTAGAAAAGATCAAATTAGCCTTTAGAGTTTTTAGTTTACTCTGACATTAAAACAGAATTAAAATAAACAATATAATTCATTAGGCGTGAAAGGACCTATACTAGTACTGCTGAAATTTATGTCAAAATTGCCACTGGTTTTCTGTAGGATCAGGATTAAGTTCATCAAGAAGATGTCAATTGCTTTATTTTTATTTATTTTTTTAGGGGGTTGGGAGTCATGTCCTACTGCTTGCCCAAATTGAAATGTTATAGCATTTTATACTTCAGAACTGGACAGTTCAATTTTTATTTCCACTTAAGGAACATCATCAAAAACAGTGGTCACAGAATGGAAACTGGCTATGCATGTCAGTCTTGTTAGTATGCCAGCTTTTAGCCACTGTACTAATCTGAAGTGCTGGGCAACACTTCACAGAGGCAGCTAATCATTATTAATTCCTTTAGAATTCATTGCAATAACATCAATCATGGTGAACTCATTCGGTATTAATATGGATGTAATGTGAAAATGAATAATGCACACAAGAGTTTTTTATATTCCTATTTTAGAAAAATAGTTATGAACAGTGTATTTCTCTTTCCATCATCAAATCAGAGCTACCGAGAGATTTTCTATCAATTACCTTCATCATCATTCCAGTTGAAATCTTGTCAGAGCAAACATATTTCAAAGGATTATATCCAACTCCATTACAGCATTCTTCGCTCTTTGGAATAAGTTCAGTCTCACAGCATTTTACTGGCACTTGGTCATTCTTTCTAACATGTGCTAGGGACTCACCACTGGAACCTGAGCAGCATATGGTATCTGACTTATTCACGTATTCCTGCCCACAACAGAACATCCCTGAAATGAACAAACAAAAAAACATATCTGAATAGGAAAGGTAGGTAAATAAATAGATAGACAGATAAGAAAGGAGAAAGCTCAGAATGCAACAGATCTTGGCATAAAAACCACCGGCAGCTGGAATTATGCAGATTTAGCTAAAGTGAGATTAAATTCAAACGTGAGGTGACTGAAGTAAGCATCCTGACTTCCAGAACTGCTGAAAACAATCAAGAATTAGAGAACTAAACAACAATCAACATTCACGCCTGCTGAACTTTTTTAAGAACTTTGCTATGAAATACCATACCAAGGTACTATGCACAGCAGGTTGGAGACAGAATGCTGATGAAAATTTTCTGTAGAATGTAAAAACTGAGAAAGCTTCTATCCAGGTCTCATTCCCCTCTCCCCTCCCCCAGACAGACTTTAACAGTGCATCTTAGCATTCCAGAATTTATCATATATTTTATGTTTTAAATTCGGGGTTCATATTAGATACATCGAACTGAATGGGTCACTTGCCAAATACCCACAGTGAAGCTTCAGTCATCTAATACAGAGAATTACTTTTAATAACTTAATATCTAAATATAATTTGCATTTCTGGAGTGAAATTGATAAGATGCCAAAATTAATTCCACTGTCTTTCTTCTGGTTTTAATAATTTTCTTTCTAAATTAAAAGCTCGTCATAACCAGTATAATTTTCCATATATTCACATGAATTATTCTGCAACTGAAAAATACCAGTGTTGAACCTCATACCATCAAAAGAGAGGGGTAAATTTTAACTATGAACCAAATGCTACAAACTCCTATATAATTGGCAATGAAATAAATATTACTACTAATTGAACTAGAAAGCTACCACACAAAAAATAAGGTTGTGATATACTCTTATATCTACAAAGTAGTTTGCATTTCACATAATTTCTGTCATATGGAGGCATTTAAAACATGTGCAAAAGTGGCCACTTTTTTCACTGCCATTTATTGCAGCAAATCTATCTTAGGAAGTCATACTTAATGAAAATTAATCTTTAAAGGTATGATCCTGCTAAAGCATTCAGAGCATTTAATTCCAATCACTGGAATAACTGAAAATGGTGACATTACTTGCATACTTTACCCTTTTTTCAGGGCTGGTTCTATTCACAGCAATGCAACTGTGATCACCAGCTCTCTAAGAGGTAAATACTTCCTCTTGTTCACACCCTTTTTCCAAATTGTCCTAGGATTTTACCAATTTTAAGCAGAGAATTAATGCAGAAAATGACTCAATTCAATACTAATAAGCGACTCAGACAGCCCCAAGGGACTTTTGACAGGCAAACTAAAATTTTGATAATGAACTGTTTTTCTATTGAAACAAACACGGCTGTATTCTTTCACTGCGAACCTCATCTTTGTTTAACTGAATTAAATTTTTCAGCCAAGATTTCACTCACATAACAAGAAGTGACTCCCTTTCTAGTTTCTTTGGTAAACCATTACTTCTTTAATTATTATCAACCTTGTTCCAGTGTGATAAATTGCTAATTACTTAATACCCTAATCAGCGTTCATTCTTTGCACAGATAAACTGTGACAGCGCCATTAATTTAAATAGTAATTTCACTTAATGGCCAGAACGGCACACCAGATTTTTATGCAGCATTTTCTGAAGACTGCATCCATCACTGCAATATTCTGACATAAAGATGTCTGACGTGCACTAACTCACTTAGGGAGAGCAGATGTTGCAGAGCAGAGTTTGGTAGTAATTCCCAGAGTGCATCACTTCAGCATGAATGAGCTGCAAAGGCAGAGGTAGACAATCTTCTGAAACTGCATTGCATAGCCTCTGACCTTTCCTTAATTTATCACATGTAGCACTTGACTCCTGAACCTTGACACCTCAAATGTACAATTTTAAATATGCTCCAAGAAAAACAAAATAGGACCATGTAATATTGATGGATTGATTTGCCTTCTAAAAATCGCTTTATTCAATTGCTTAAGGATACAGAAATTCCTATAAACCCTTGCTGAATTCAGCAAAATACCAAAACGCAAACTATTTGTTTGTAAATCAGTTGGAATGTGTGTGTCATATTTTATATATTTATATTTTATAGGCACGTAGTGCAGTACAGCAAAAAGAAAATCCATGGGATGGAAAAGACACTTCCTGCTAACAGTGATTTCTGTCAACAATTATTTCATGTTCATCCCCAGCAACTGAATAAAATTATAAACATAGCTGAGTGATGAATTACTAATTTAGTAAATCTGCAAAACCAATGCTTTCAAAAGGGAAAAATGGGTATTAAAAGGCTTACCCTTTGCAGCCAGAATAGAGGATCAACAAAATACAGAGCCAGTGTACATTGCAAACTACTCCAAAAATCCTTGGCTTACATGTGGGTATTGCAACTATTACAGATCAGGAACCACAATGGCACAAAGCATCATCTTTCATGATTCTGGGATGTCAGTATAGTGGCAATTAAAAAAAAATTAAAATAAAAAAAAATTAAAAAAAAAAGAGAGAGAGAAAATCCAGAAGTGGTTTTAGTTGACATTATCCCTTATAGCCAGAACTTTGGATAATCGCACTGCAGCAGGAGGGCTCAGGATGTGCATGTACAATGGCACCACTGCCAGCCTTTGCCAGTAGATGTCTCTATGGTTACCCCACTAAATAAGGCCAACAAGGGGTGAAAAAGAAAACCTAAGAAAATAGAAATTAATAAATAAAAAAAAAAAAGAAAAAAGTCATATGAGATGGACAAAACATCTCTTTTCAGGACAGACTCCTTGAAAAAGGTATACAATACTAAATAAAAAAGTTCTATGATTCAGGCCCTTAAACCAACATTCAGTGCAAACTTGGGTCTAGATTCAGCAGAAACACACTGATTTGGAGCTGGTCATGCAACAAAATAAGGCTGTGCACAAGGTTTGCAGTTTTAGTGATCATATTTTTCTTCTATGATTATTTTTTTCAAAGACATAAAGCTCCCAAGCAAAAGCTTTAAATTGTCACTATATTTTTAACTATGGCATACATTTCCAACTAAAAACCAGAGCTTTAGAAGCAATTCAGCTTTTGCATAAAGCTTTCTTTTTTTGCGCCTCTGTTAAATGTTTCCCCTTATAGACAATGAGCTCAGCTCTCCAATTACCATATTCTTGCAAAATTCAACTTATCCATTTGCCAATGATAAGTAAATTATTGTTTTATGTAAGAGTATTTTTTCCATTAGAATCATTATAATAATTGGGATAGGGAGCAGGCAGATTTTTGTTCCTGGCTTGTGCATTTTCTTGATGTATTTAGCAAGGCTGAATTACTCCACGAAATTAGTTAAAAACGTATTGAGCATGATGCATACAATATGATAAGAAACCACAACCTATTCTATGTTTAATGCAAAAGAATAAGATCTCTTTTCAACTATGGCACTAATTCATCTTTCAAACCTGTATGTGTTCAGCTTCTGGCTCACAGCATAAAGTCCTCACAGAAAACCTGTGAGCAAAATAAAAAGCCACTGTTTTCTTTTTTAATAGCCAAAAAAATGTCCTATTGACCCATTCTTGAGAAAAATAGTGTAAATGATTGGGCGCTATAGGCTACACACACTTTAAAAAGAGGGATATAAAGGTTTTTTTAAATATATATATTTAAGGAAAAAAACTGTTAAGAATACATATATAATGAAATGAAGAACATAACTTTCATCCCAAGATACCTGTATTACACTCCTACACAACTCATCTGCCCAGAGAGAGCAGTAAAAACATAAACGCTACCCCAGCAGTTCTGTTCCAACAGCATCTGTTAATTCACTCCATTTATAAAATACATATTGACAAAGACAACTGAACTGGGACCGGGGAGATTTGATTTGGTGTGAGAAAGTCAATTCAATGTGATTTTGTTAAAGGGCTCCTGAAGGCAAATAAAAGAGTTTAAGTAATAAAGTACATAAAGACATGTTTTATGAGCCAGTCCCGTCTTGTGGCAGCCACATAATGCGCGGCTAAGCAAGAGGGCCTTGTTCAGAGCTGGTACTGTGAGCTCAGTGTTGACGCTGTAGATCAAGCACAATTAAGGATCACAGTGAAAAGGGGCTAAAATCATGCAAGCAAACACTGTTCACCACATATGCTCCATGAGTCACCACTGGAAGGGAAGAATAGTAGGGAAACCGCAGAAAGCGTTGCAATGTTCTTCTGATCAGCTCATCGTGACAGTCAGCACTGAACTAGGGTGCTTCTAATACCACAGAAACTGAAGGATCCAGTAAATACAATAAATAAGATAAAGACAGAGCTTATTTTTTGGGAAAGGAGGAGTTCAGCCTTCAGATCTGGATTCCTGGTTATATATTAAGATCCTTAGTTGTACAACTAGAGGGTCAAACTGGCACACACCATCACTCATCTTTGTACACCAAGCAGAAGTGGATTCTAAACCTTCATTATTTCTGTTTTGAAATCAGGCTCCCCTTTGAGACTGTAGTAGTTTCTGAAGTCTTTTTGTCAGGCTGAGAAAGCTGATGGTATATAATTTGTCTAATAATTGTGGAAAGAAAAGACACATGAAACTGTCTGAATAGGTTTTGCAATAGTACCTCCAATCTCTGTCATCAGCTAGTCATAGAGTGTTTTATGAGGAAGCAGGGTTCAGGTTGTATGTCTGAGTGGTGGAGTAATTTCCTACTGTGTGGAAGAGGGTAATGGCATACACCAGATGAGTCAGTGAGTAGCGCTAGGGATTAATTTTTGCTAATTTTAAACACAAGTGAGGGACATAGACCACCAAGCAGACAGCATGTCAATCTTCAATTTCCAGGTGACTAACCCTCCATTTCCAGAGCAAATGGAAAATCCCTGTACTGGGATGCATGGCGGCACAGGGTGGCCAATCTAGCCTCTGCTCTACTCATGAGAGGGGACTGGTCCTATTTCCTGACTTGCATGAAGAAAGATCATGGTCTCCTTTTGAATTTTCTGGTTTCTCCAGCCCCTGCTGCTTTTGGACAAAGCAAAGAAGGTTACTGAAAGCTCACCATTTTGCAGTATAGCAGACTATGTGACTAAAGTGCAACAACATTTTAATAAATTGGTATACACACTTTAAATCTGAGTGTGTCACTTCTGAATGCTTAGTGTCACAAGAGATTTAGCAAGATGAAGACCTTTTTTCCTTAAAAACTTATTACTTACCTGTGACAGGTCTGTATGCAGTCCCTTCTTTTTCATCACCACAACAGACTGAGTCCATGCTTATGACTCTTCCACCACAGCACTGCTGATTGAAACTGTCGTGAAGGGATCCACCACAGCAGATTTGATTGCCCGATGTGGAGTAAGGCATTCCCTGGCAGCAAGAGTCACCAATTCCAACTGAAACTCTGTTTTCCTCTTTGTTAGGGCAGCATACTTCTCCTGTCAATTTAAGAATACAATTAAAGATTTTATCCATTTATACCTCATGAAATTCCTGAGAGACTTTCATCAGGTAGCAACAAGTCTAGATTCACACAGCTTCATGTACAAAACATTCCATGTGAAAGCATGGAATCACTTGGTATTTTAGAATGCTATAAAAGTATTATATTCATTTGTAATAATGATTAAATAAACATGGATTCATTAATTCAGGCCCAAGACTCTGTAAGATATCAATATGCGAGTATGGCAGAGACAAACTGAGAAGAGCAAAGAAAATAATATGACAATTGTACAGTTGGAAACCTTTTGCCATTGAAGCTACATAGTAAAGAGAGTTCGTTCTTGCTATGTTTAATAAAACCATCAGCCTACTTATTCTCAGCAAAAAATTTCCTTGTCTCCTTCAAAATCATCCCAAACTTGTTTTGATGGACTAATTCACAATGCTTTAAAGAGTTTTTCAGTGTCACTCAGGACTTTATCTCATAAAGAATTTAAGGATTAAACTCACTTTAAAAATTAAATACCACTGTCACAATTGGTGGGCTTGGCTGCTACTTAAGCAAAAGCATGAGTTTTTGCAGGAAAAGACCTTAGGATAAGACTTCCAGTAAGACTGACACTATAATGGTGGGGTGGGCTGGGCTGGAATAAATTGTGTGCTATGAACAGAGTAGATACTGCTATCAACGATACAAAAATTATGGTAAATTGCAATAATTTTCATTCACTAGTGTCTGCGCTTGATCTAATCCAGTGTTCTAAAAGTCACATTTTTACATTATCTTTCTGTGTTGCAATGTTTTCTGTGGCTCAAAAGTCATTTGGAAGGAGTAGTGGTTTTGTTTCGCTATTGAAGATGGGTAGTAGAGTTGATTAAAGTATTTTGATTCCCGATTGTTATTCTAGGAAACGTATTTTGATTTTTAAAACTCAGTTTTCTCATTTAAAGCAATATCTCAAGTCTGTTTCTTACGAAAAGTTGGGAATTACAGACAGAGAGCTCTAAACCCAGTGCAGCTTTGGTCAGAAATAAACATGTGATGCAATTGTAATAGAGGAGAGAGAACAGTGTTTTCCTTTTTCCCCACTTCCCTTGTGCCCGGGTGGTATTAGCATTATTTATTCTGCCTCCTGTCTTAGTTATGAGATGGATGTTTGCACTTCTTTGTGCACTACTGTTTCAGAAACTCAGATTCTGCCTTCCTAATTTGTAATCTTCGTGCCTTCAACACATCACGAGCTATTGAGCTTGCCAAACAACATCTGGGAAATACATATTCTTAGAGAGTTTCCTGTAAAAATAACTTTATCAAATAAAGTCAATAATAAAGAAAAAAATATGAGAACAAATTTTTAGTGTATAATAGATATAATCTGTCTAGATACTTCATCATATTTTCCTGCATTCCTCGGAAGCTAATTTAGTTGCTACACAGAGAAAGTATTAAAACACAGAACGTATCTTACATCTAGTGGAAATAAAACTATTTTTTTTAAAGAACTATTAGACATAAGACACAAAGGATCAGTAACCTGCTCATTAACCTCTCAAAATGGGATCTATTCCAAGCTAGGCTTGAAAATGTTCTCTCTTTGAAAACTACTATGCAGTCTTAACAGTTAATTGTTATCCTTATCAAAGAATGACCCATATTAACATTTAGCTTGAGGATATTAGCATATTTATAAAAATAAAAAAGAAAAAAGTGACCAACAGTGTTCATGTTGCTGCCCTTTAGAGTATAGAAAAATAATGCAGCAAGTATACTTAGGAAAAAAATTGTTTAAAATCATGTTCAAACATTCACTGTTTCATGCTTGTGGACTGCTGACTGAACAAGAACTACTTTCAGACATAAGACATTTTCTTCCACTGTGCTTTTCTTTCTTGATGTAAACAACATTAAGCTAGTTAACACAGACCACTGGATGGGGACAGAGGTCACAGTATAATCTCTCCATTTCAGAACATTGAGATTAATGAGGTCAGCAAAATACTCTTCTCTGGTTCTTCCTTGTGATAGCATTTTTCTGATGACATCATGGAAGGCATTCTAATATTGTGATATATGAATTACTTTTCAAAAGATCACAAATTGGGATGTGCTGAATGTGTTGGCAAAATTTCAAGTGTTTCTGAGCCTAGGGAATGTGTGCCAGCTCATGAGTAATGGAAGCATTTTAGCTCCTGACCTGACAATTGCCTACAAAGAGATATATGCTCTGAACACTGCCCCCATGAAAGGGATCTCTCCTCCTCCTTTACCTCCCCTCTCCCTCTCAACAACAACCCACCAACAAATGGGAAAACCAAAGTCTGGACAATAAGACAGAAGCACTGTTTTGGCAAACTTCCCAAGCAGCTCTGAGAATAAGAAAAGGATAAATTTCCATCAAAGTTAATACATGTGGGATGTTTTCTTTGATCTGTAACATTAGTGCAGAGTAGACAATGTAGAAACAAGTAGAATATCAACACCAAATACTAACAATTGCCCCAAAAAAGAACTGACTATGGAAAACATATGGGGTCAAGTCAAGCAGAGAACTAAACTGCACCACTAAATTGCCTGATGGTGTTCCTATTAAGCAGAACTGCCCTTCCCATTATGCAGCACTTACTGCAATTAAGTATAGTTTGGCATAAATTAGTTCTCTGGGAAATGACCCAATCATCAGGTTTCATCAATTAAGCTTTTCTTGTATAAACAGAGTACACTGTGTTTAGAAGATGAAGGGACTGCAATGTTCTTTGCTTATCCCACTGAACTCAAGTCTCGAAGACATCTAGAAATCTTGATAAATCTCACGTTTATTTCTATGTTTTTATTCTCCTTGGTTTAACAAATATATCAACTTTGATGTTTTGTCTCATTCAAGCACTGGAAAGGAGTTGTCTCTTACCTACTAAAACTCTAGTGTAATAACCACCACAGCACTGATGTTTCGGTTGCACAGCATGTATCTGACCACCACAGCAAACCCCTGGTGAATTAGGAATAAATGGAATGTACTTGTCCTCGCAGCATTGGAATCCAGGTTTATTGTCATGCAGAATCCCATTACAACATACCTAGAAATAGTTTAAAAAAAAAATCAGCAAGGTAATATCTGTTAAACCAAATATAACGTGTTGTCTGGCAAAACAACGTATATGAAAACATGTACAACACTTCCTAGTACGGATACTAATATAACTGCAGTCAAATAAAATGTAACTTGGCTAAAATTCTGTGCCCTCCAGCATTATCAGACTCCAATAAACTACTGTGTATCTGACAGTATGCTGCTATTCTGTGGCTTTCAACCATACTGCACCTTAATAAAATAGTCGATTCGTATGAATCATCTTCCTATGCCTTGCAGGCTGTTTGAGTCTCTCAGTGTGGAGTAGATTGCAATATGTGGATACAATCTACCATCACCTTATCCTTTTCTTTTCTTCCCAATTCTTGTTTATTTATTTATTTATTTACTTACGTATTCATTTATGCTGAAACATGTCATCTGAAACCCTTACAACTAAAAACCAGTATTTCCCAATATGAGCTCTTGGGTTTTCTTTCATATAAAAATAAGTGGAATTTTCTTCCTATAGCATATGATCACTTATTTATGACCATAGTTCTTCAGACAATGTGATCTCAAGATAATAGTATGTATATAAGGATGTTTTTTTCAAAATAAAATTTGTATGGAAATTAATTTTGAAAAGACCTTTTAACTGTGGACTTCATTTAGGTGCTGTCGAGAAAATTATACACTTCAACAATCAAATAATTATTTTCACACTTACTCCTGTGTCAATGGAGTAGCACACTGTATACACAGCAAATCACATAGCACAGTCAGTAGAATGAAGGTAAAAATGGTAAACTTGGAACCTACAGTCAGTGCAACTTATATTAGCCTCTTGCAGCTAGACATGAAATGGAGTTGGCAGCAGAGCACAGATGTTAGAGCAGAGTTGCTCTTTTGTTTTAACATGGAGCACTTCCACCACTGACTTCAACCATGTCCTAAATCATGTTATCCTAGCAGCAAAGAAAGTGTTCCTCTGAATGATCTTTCATTTACCTAGGTACTGTAACTATTAGCTGACAAAAAACTTTTAAAAATGTGCATTACTAGGCTCAGGACATCTGCTCTGTATTACAGTTACAATGTTAACAAAAATACAGACAAACAAAAAAAATTTTCCTTATGTCATAAAAAAAATTCTCTTTCACTTCAGAGAGATGATGCTTTGTTTTGTTCGCTTTTGAATGGCCTTTACTCAATCACCATTGGGAGTGTTAGGTTAGGTTCTGAAGCTACCATATGTAGACAATATGTAACGCAAAATTAACATGAGGTAAGGCAGAAGGGGTTCCTGTTACCTCATTATATTTTTAGGTTTTATAACGTTGCACATTTTGAACTATAACATGGTTTTCTGCTTTTCCAGCATACTTTCCCATTCAACACCTCTTTTAGACAACCAATGTAGCTGAATTTTGTCAATTTCTGTTGAGGAATTTTGAGTTTCTGTAGGTCTATTATATTATTTGCTGTCCACTTTGTCACTGGTAATATAATCCAATCTATGAATTTAATTAACCTACTGTTCTTTCTTCCAGATCATTAGTTAATATGTCAAATAAAACTCTACTTTACACTTCTTCTTCTCTACTTCCTAGCTTTTGGATATTTTTAAATGACTGGCATGCATTCCTGGCTGAGTTTGTCTTCATTTACAATTGGCTGCAAAGAAATCTAGGAGTTTACTTAGTCTCTCTGCATTTCCAAGTCATTTTAAAAGCATTATTAAAAATATAAAATCAAGTACTATTGTGCCACTTTCCTCAGAAGGTATCATTTTTAGCAAAAATTCTTGACACTTGTAAAAAATTCCTGTCTTGTCCTTTTTCCTGTAACCTGAGCTTGAGACACCAGAGTCAGTAAATTCTGTACCTGCCTACATGAAAGGAGGTCAAATACATGTTCCTCATGCATTCTTGGCCCCAATTTGTGTGCCCCCTGGGATTGTGTCTATTTCTGTGATCTATCTAGTCCAAAATCTCCTCTCCTTTTCATGGACTTCCTTTGTCACCTCTGTACTGTTACGTTATTTTCAGTTATGCACACCACTTAAATTTCACCTGAACATAGTCTTTCCATCTTTCAGATAAAGAAAGTTACACATCTTCGGCATCATTCAGGCTCAGATGCTTAAGCAGCCATTTTACTTTCCATGTGATGCTTCCAGTTTTAAGAAATGCCCCTTCTCTTGCGAATCCTCAGCAGAAACACCTGCTCTGCATATTTCACACCAAATCTGGGAGGGCCATTTTAGTACTAACTCTACAGCATTCAGTTTAGAACATTATTTACAAGATTGCATTATTACTGGTGTCTCTTCTTTTTCTCCTCATTTTCCTCAAAAAATCTCCAGCTGAACACTCAGGTGTGTTACAGTAATTTCAGCAGCTACTTTTTCCTTGTTAAAAATTATTTAAGATCCTCAGTATTTCTCAATAACCTAGAGATAGTTTCCAAAGAGGTGTCCAGTCCTAAAACACTTTCACACTCTCAACTGGCATTACTGGTTGATATAGTTGATGCTATTATTATGTAGTTCCATAAAATTCTCTGTGGTCAGCTGTAAATTGTTAAATAACACTTTTTTGGCAGTCCTCTAGAGAGAGTTTCTATTTGCACTGATATTCAGCCCAAGGATTCTGCATTATCAATCCATAAAATAAAATGCATTCAAGTAATGCTAACACTATGTCATAGAAAAAGAAGAAAAGCAGATGGATTGAAAGTTATAGTGGCAAAAGGTTATTATTATCTCATCTTAGATCTAAAGGTGACCGTCCCAACTGGATGGCGCCATTACGTACATGAAAGTAGAAGCCTTGTAGCGAACAGATACAGTGCCACCTACATTTTAGGCAGGTCAGAAGGTTGAAAGTTCAACATATGCTTGCTTATTAAAAGATCTTTACTATCTATGGAGATGAGACAAGATGTTCATCCTTAGATGTCATGGGAAAAATATCAGTAGACCAGGTTACTCTCCAATCAGTCCTGTGATTATCATCCCACCCAAGCCCACAGAAGGACTGTGATCCAGGAGCACAGGGACTGGGAAGGGTTGAGCACAAGCAAAGGCTTATTGAAATACCTGAGCAAGGCCCAGTCAGCCATGATACTAACACAGAGTAACTAGATATCAAATCTGGCAGGCAGGATTACACAATATTTTAACGATTTTTAAAAAAATACTCTGAACTTATCTATGCAACTCTCTTTTAATTACAATTGTGTCATCCCTGATTCCTCTGCTTGCTGAAGACTTTGCTGAAGGATATTATCTGGCCTTATGGACACATGCCAGTTGAGCTAAGACTGATTTACTCAAATAAACAGATGTGCTAGGCAGCCATGTTTATCCTTCTTGTCAAACACTTGCTGCCAGAGCCACTTTGTGAAATAGCAATTCACAAAACACTCTCAGGAATTCCTATTAGCTACAGGAGTTCATTAAAAATTTCTGCCTGTGGAGAAAACACCAGAGTAATGATTGACCCATCATGTTCTCATGTGAGAGGGAATATTTTAAATTAGCAAGGCTCATTCTTTTTTACCTAAATTATCTCTGAATCTATATAGACATCCTTTTTAGCTAAGTATACTTATTCACCCATTTCTTTTCTCAAACTATTTTTCTCTTTTGGTAATTGATGCAGACTTAGATCTAAAATCCATGAGCAGAAATTATTGTTATTCTGTTACAAATCACTATATATTATCTTCCTAAAATGAGTTTCATGTCATGTCTTTCAGGTGTGTTACAACAAGAACTGTAAACTTTTTAAAGGTCCTCTAAGCCTGAAAGAACTTGAAAAGAATGTAACGATATTGCTAACATTAATAGTAAATTTTACATAAATATTGATGGAATACCCTTCACCACTGTCAAGATGTGTTACTTTTCACTTCTGAAAATCGTGCTTTTGAAGTTAGCTATCAAGCCACCATTTTGCTCCTCCTGCCCTGAAAAAGAAGCCACTGGTGTTTTTAACATATCATGGCTAGGCTTCGCGAACAAATGGCAAGTTCATTACAATGAGTAAAGGGGTAAACCTTTACTTCCTAGTAAAGTCGGTTATATTTGATTAATTCACTAACTGCAGATTTATACAGCTTCTTGCAACTGAAAATAAAAGTGCTGAAGCTGTATTAACACCTTCAGTCAGGACCCTCTTAACCATTGATGTTCATATTTACGTTGCAAAGTGTACAGAAATTGTTAGCCTTTATGCCACTATTTTAATTACATTTTTACTGTACCTGTCTCATTATTTTGAGAGTTCACCTCAGGATGCCAGTAACAACAGACGAATAGGTTGGTAGCTACAAGGATAATACAGGAATGCCTTCCCTATTGATACTGAGATTATGTTCCCCAATGGGTGAAGCTCAGGCACACTCCCTTGTTAACTGAAGTACCTCTGAAGAGCTCACGATATGTGCTCTGTGAGCTGATGTCTCTTTTGATACTTCAAATACAGGTTGAGTTATGGATCACATCTTACTGAAAACAGTCAGAAAAAGACTGTATAGACTGACAATTTTGGGAATCTTGGGAATACCCAAGCAACACAGGTTTGTTACTGTAAAAGGTTCACAGGACATAGGAACCCTCCTGGCAGCTGACAAAATTCAACATCAATGTGTATTCTCAGCTTTTCTGCACACAAAAATCTTTCTAAATTCTTTCCATGCTCAAGAAATAAATGCATCCAAGTCTGATTAAACATCCAAGAAAACTGGATAACAAATAGAAAGAAGAAGTTGTGATCTGATGCAAAGATTACTTAGGATGACAGGAATGTTTGGTCTTCATTTGGCTTAATATCAGGCCTTGAATGTGTATGTACACATGTCCCTTGTAGCAAAGAGGTCATTTGCTCTTTTAGAGGTTCCCAAGACAGCTCTGAGCAAGTTTATTTGCACAGCACAGTGCTAAGCAGAGATACTAACCTGGATCCCAAACACAGCACACACACACCCCCCAGAGCAGCCTTGCACCTGGGCTGTTTCACACTGCCTGTCTGATACAGCTGCGTTACTCAGCTGGACCCAACTCAGCCAGTGTTAGCTAAAGAGTCTCTGCATCCCACTGCTGCACACTGAAAATACACCCTTCCATTTCTTTTACTGAAACACTTTGGTTTCTCTAGATGGAACGGATTATATTTTGGCAATCTCTTATGTAGCTGAATTATAACTAATCCCTCTTTTTCTGCAGTGCCTTACAATAGCAAGCTGATGATGCTAAATGTAATCCATATATTCATAAGGAAAGATTAATAAATAACCAAAGACATATCTCCAAATAATTTTTGTACAAAAAGCCTAGTTTTCCTCTCATTCTATACTCATGAACTCAATAAAATTTTAAGAGGGAAATTAGATCCATTTTTTGTCTTGTATCAAGGTGCAATAGTTGACCTGAGCAAAAGTGAGAACTCCACAACCTATTTGTCTATCGGAGCTATATGTATAAAATTGCTAGCTTTTGCTGATGATTCCATCATCAAATGAACAAAAGAACTTGTTTATTATTCAGGATCTGAACATTACTTAAAATGCTCAGCATTTAATTCTGAATGGCATCTCTTTGCATTTGGCTGTACAATTAATTTATGGTTAATAGGCCAGGCTGGATGGGACTTTGAGCAGCTGATCTAGTGGAAGGTGTCCCTGCCCATGGTTGGGGGGTTGGAACTAGATGGTCTTTGAGGTCCCTTCCAACCCAAACCATTATATGGTTCTATGAAGTGCAGCTGGCACTGTGATATGAGGCTTTCTTCAGAACAAGTGTACACTGGTCAGTGTTGCTTTTCTTCACTTCTGTCCAGTAGACTGTCAAATCCAAGGAACACAAATATTAGCATATAGACTTCAGCATTATCACTGGCATAGACTGTGATATTGAATGGCATATTGAATTCTATAAAAGTGTGAGAGAGGATTGCCACATAAGGTCTTATGCCATCCTTGCCATGGACTTCAGTTTAAAAGGAACATGGATGTACCAAGAGCTCTGTAGGTGTGTCTTAAAGATAGTTTGGATGGCTAGTGTGGATACACATAGTAAACCAGACAAAGCATTGGGAGAGGGATTTTAATCAATTCACCCACAAAAATTACCCCCATGTCATTTTATGCATGAGTGCTTCCATTTCCCGTGGACTTTCCAATCCTTTATTATATATCCATTACTTAACAACTTGCACCCACTTGTAACCACAGTCTCTGAAAATACAGAGAGACCATTAGAGCAAAGTATTGCAAAATTAATTAGAAAAAATTAGAAAGTCAGGAAGCTATAGAAATAAATGAACAATCTTCAAGCTCAAAGTTACCATACATGTATGAAGGCTGAAAAAATAAAAGCAGAGCAGAAAACTTCTAAAATTAATATAATACAAATTTAATTCATATACATGCCAATATCTGTTAAAGGTCTACCATGCCAAAAACCTGAAATAAATAATTTTACCTTTTAGAAAAAGGGGCTGCCCATAATTCATTCCAAGATTTCAGAAATACTTATGTTTAGTATAGTATTGCTTTCAAGGGAATTCAAAAGCTAAAGCTATGTTGGCTGGAATAATTTATATTTTGATTTGAACCCCTCAAATAACTCACTCCCTTAATTACTGTCTTGTCTGACAGGGAATCTTGTGAATACATATTGTTTGCTTTAGTCACAGCGCATGTGATGATGTCTTTGACAAATAGAGACACTATTTCATGACATTAAATCTTACTTTCAAACTAAGAGTTTTCTACCTCATTTGTCAATAAAAACCATTACAGACTCCTGCTATGCTATTGATCCTACTCCTAAACAGGAACTCATATGAAGATTAACCTGAAAATAGCCATAATTTAAAAATGCATCTGACAAATCACAATAGATCCCATTCAGAGTTGCTCATCATTGTCATATAACAGCTACGCACTTGTAGCTGAATCAAAATAGATTTTCTCTACTAGAGAATCTTGTCATTAAACATTTAGCCAAGGAAAAATTTAAGTGGGGAAAAAAATGGCCAGCAATTCATGTTAATAGCCACTATTTGCCAAGCAGGATTTGAGGAATGATTCCTCACACAGAGAGAAGCTTTATAGTTTTGTTAGTGTTTCTCAAATTTTGCATAAACCTAGAAATTTCCTGTGGCCTTTAAGTGGTCTGATGCAATCACTTTATGCCAAAGGAGCCATATGAACTACCATCATGTGCTACAGAGATATCTGAATGAATACTTGAGCTGATAAAGCATCATCTCCTCTAGTAGTTTTCAGTGTATGATCTGTGGCATGCAGCTGAGCAAAACTGATTGAATCGTAGAAACAGAATATCCTGAGCTGGAAGGGACCCACAAAGTTCATCGAGTCCAACCCCTGGCCCTGCATGGGACAATCCCAAAAATCACACCATGTGCCTGAGAGCGTTGTCCAAATGCTCCTTGAACTCTGTCAAGCTTGGTGCTGTGACCATTTCTCTGGGGAGGCTGTTCCAGTGCCCAACCACCCTCAGGACGAAGAACCTTTTCCAAACATCCAATCTAAACCTCCCCTGACAGTTTCATGCCATTCACTTGGATCCTATCACTGGTCACCAGAGAATAGATCACACCTTTAGGCTGCCAGGTCACTGCTGACTGATATTCAACTTGCCATCAACCAGGATCCCCAGGTCCCTGTCCACAGCCCTGCTTTCCAGCATCACATTCCCCAGTCTGTGCATACATCCAGGGTTGCCCCATCCCAGGTGCATAATTCAGCACTTGCCTCTGTCAAACTTCATACAGTTGATGATTGCCCACCACTCTAATTTGTTGAGGTCTCTTTGCAGGGCCTCTGCCTTCACTGGAGTCAACAGCTCCTCCCCGTTCAGTGACAATTGTAACAAACAGGATGCAAAAATACATACAGAGATCTCTATATATCCACAATGCAATTTGTCATCATGGGATTGTGTCAGAGGACTCAAGAGGTTGATAGTGACATTCCTCCAACTTCCATTATATGTGGCTTGTGAGATTTACTTTGGATCACACATAGCCTGAATTCTTGGGATGAACACCTGCACCATACACATGGAACACAGCTTTCTGAAGGGAAGAAACTTCAGATGCATGCTTGTGAAGTGAGGTGGTCCATATACTGGTTGGGAATCTAAAGTGCCCATCCAGAGCTGGAACATATTTGAAGGTTTTTGACACACAAGTTCTGGGGTAGCTTCCTGTGTGAGGAATTTAGTTCATGTATTAAAATGACTTCTGCCATTAATCAGGTAATAAATTAAAACAGTCTGTGGATTCACTTCAAAACTGCACCAAACCCAAGTGCTAATGAACACATCATTTCTTCTGAAAGGAGAAAGAAGGTCAACAAAGACTTAACACAACAGAATCACTTGTCATGAGCTGACACACACAGCTATCCCCGTCCTGAGCTCAAACATCCATATTTGACTTTAAAAAGTTTCAAGATATGTATCAGAGCCTTGATTTCAAAACATCAAAAGAAGCAGAATCCTCCACTTCCTTTCCTCTGATAACTAAAGAGGTTTAGTTTACACACCTATTCCTAAAAGTATTATTTTTCATTACATAGGTAACTTAAGAATATACATTACCTTCGACTCTGGATGATAACACACTTCTCCACAGATATTTTCATGCTTTTTACATTCTAATGAGACGCACATTATATTACTTTTGCTTCTCCTTGGAGTCTTTGATGGGGTACACTTCTGCCATGCTTTACGTAAAAGTTCATACCCCAGGATAATGCCATTTGGCTGTCCTGGTGATGCCCAGTTGATTTGAAGAGACCTACAATAAGAAAATCAACATCTGTTAAATTTTTGGAAGTAGTTATGCCTCTAGAGCTACTTACATTAAATGATTAGCATATAGTAGTTCTACCTTACGCTAGTTCACATGGAGTGAAACACTTTAAAGTGTAAAAGTGTTCTTCTGGATAATGTGTTTCACAGATACTTTAATAACTGTAGTTGTAAAAGTTTTTAAAAAGTGTCAATATGTGCTAATACTCCATGAAGAGAAATAACACATGCAATCAAAATCCTTAAAAGTTGCTATTTAAAAGATATCTCATTCTTATTTCTGGAAACTTATGCGCAACAAACTTTCTAATATTTTACTAATTTCATGTCAGTGGTTGGAGAAAGGATGCAGTATGCCTTTCCTGGTGCAATAGTAAAGGTGTACGTGAACGGGGCTGGTGTGACTGTTCCATTCTCAGACAGAAGCCTGCTAAAGCGTGGGCAGTGTGGCAAAAGACCCCCCTTTCCTTCTGTGCTTTTGCTCCTGCAGCTTACTCACATCGTGCTCAGTTACCATTGAGAATAGATTTGTATTCATCTTGTCTTTTCCCTGCTTCCAAATAAAATGTATGTTTCTTTGAGATGTATTCTTTAGCACAGAATTAAAAAAATAACTCATTACAGCATCAGTAAGCACTACTTTCCTTCTGCATTTAAATATTTTCATTGACATAAAATTAGAAGTAAAAAATGGAAGTGTTTATCACAACTAAGACTCGAGGCTTCTGACTGAGTGCAAAAGCAGGACTGCAGCAGCCCAAAAAGATTGTCTGTAAAACAAAATCCTGTTATCAGTTTCAGATTTGATATCACACCATCATCAGTTTAAGGAAGAAAATATGTTAAGGGACATCATTAAATCATGTTAAACTGTAGCATGCCTGTCACTACTAAAAATGTGTAGATATTTGCTCCAAAATCTCACTTAGTATTAAAATGAATAACATTTAAAAAAATGAAAAGGGACATTTGAAAAAACAATACAAATTTTACATTGATATTTCACATGAACACTTCATTTTTTGTATGATCACCATGGAGTGTTGCATAAGACACAAATTTCTTTCACTGTGACTCTCTTTGGGTGGAGAGAAAGCAATCCCAATGCTACATGTAGATCAACAGGAGGACTGACAATACTGCATAGTAAATACTTAGGCTCCAAGTACCTCTTTTTAATCTCCATGTCCCAATTACACAGTCACTGTCAGAATGCCAGTGACATCAGAAATTAGCATTAATTTAAAGTGAAAATGCTTCAGTGAAACAGCAGCTGCTGAGATAAACTTTGACATCTTAACAGAATAAAAATAAATGAACTATTATTTCACTTCCTTGAGGTATAAACAGAGGAATACACATAGCAATAAGCCTTTGCAGAACAGGAATTGATGTCACCTATGAGGGAATAAATTCATAGGTGACTTGTAGAGTCACCATTATCATTCCATGGTCCTCATCTGAACCATAGATTTAGTTCCATATTTCATCCATCGCTGTTTTGTATTCTCTTCGCGAAGCCTCGCCATGATATTCTACCGCATATACATGAACACATACTCGCACAAATGCACTCATCCACATTTAAATAACGTTAGAAGACCTAACTTAAAAATGTAAAAGCAGGATAATATATTGTTCAAACTTCAGGGAAAAAAAAAAGATTAAGAAAAAAAGGAAAAGGAGGTAGTACTTGAACCTTTATAAATGCCATTGAAACTCTCTACTGGTCTTTGCACAGGATAGATCACAGGAGCAAAGAAAGCATACCCAGCCATAGTTTTGAATTATTTGCTTTCTGCAAGTTTCATTCAGATCCTCAAGGGTATATTTTCAAAGTATTGTGCCAGGTTTCTGCAGTTTTTCAAGTCGTATTTTTCTCTAATGTAATTTCAAATTAAGCCTCATAATTAATGCAATGATTTGAACATTTTGCCTTTTCTGTTGAGCTCAGCATGTACTTCTTTCCTTTAACAAGCAATCACTTTATTATTATTCAATTGATAGATATACATTTGGGGTGGAGATAGCCTGATATTGTGTAAAACTGCAGCTGCACAAGAAAATTGTGTGGCATGGGAGTTCACTGAGCAGTGCCAATGAATGTATGACCTTCCAATAGCAGACTCCTTCACAATTTTATGGATGTTTCAGGTATGTCTACACTTTCTGATGTTTGCCACCCATGGCAAATTGTGGCAACGCAGGAAGAACAGTGCATAGCTTGGTTTAAAAAAGAACAGCAGGATTTTCATGGAACTGCAGCAGCTTTTTGACACCTCCCATCTGAAGAAATATCCTAGGCTGAGCTGAAAGACCTTCATGAGCAGGTGCAGATTTGATGGGACACGACGGGCACTTTAGTGTGCAGCCAGCTGTATCATGAATGGTGCATTTGATATAGAAGCTGCAGAAACATGGGGACAGAGCCTGCTCACCCTCTCCTTCTGTCCATCTCCCAGTCACTCCCTGTGAGATAAACCGGAGTTGTGACTATGCTGAGAAGTGTCTACAGCCTGACCTACAGAAGCAGACTCACAAATAGGCTTAGACGAATGTACAACACCTCACATGCAGAGCATAACCCTTGTCTGCCCAGAGAACATTTTAAGTGTCTGCCATTTATGATAGTTCCAGTGCTGGATGAATCCCTTCTATGACTGCTGGCAATGTGGTGAAGATACTGAAGCAGACAAGGCAGCCTAACCAGGTTCCAAGAAACAACCTGCTTCAGACTACAGGGTCCATGAGGCACTGCAGCAGTTTCATGAGATAAAGAACAATTTCAAACTGATCCACAGGGGTGTATTTGCTTTTGGTGAAAGACAGCAAACTGAAATCATTTGGCCCAAGCATGTGAAGTCAATTATTCTTGACATTTCTAGGTAGAAATATTATTTTTTTAAAAAATCCATGAAAAATAACAGTATTTTGGAGTTTTTTTATATCACATCAGATGCATTTTGGTAAAACAGACTTTGGAAGGAAAATTCTGGGTTTTGCCTGCTTCATGTATCACCAGTTTCAAGTGCCCATAAAAGAACTCCTCAACACAGTAATAAAGGTTTAACCATGAAGATTAAAAATATATCAAGGCCTCACTTCTGAATCCTGATAATGAATGTTCTGTTAGTCTCATCACATACAACGGTTAAGTTTAAAAATCTACGATTCAATGGCTTTACTTTTAGGAGTTGGAACAAAAAAAAAAAAAAATCACACGATTCACCTGACAGTCTTAAGATAGGGAACACTGCTATTATTAATGACTAGTGGATAAAATACTTCCCTCATCAGGAGATCACACATACTGAGCAACTGCTCCAGCATTATTGCACAGGAGTTAACTACCTGCTGTATTGTGGACTGCAGGGCTGACATAATTAGAGAGGCAGTATGACACAGTACAGACAGCCTGATAAATGGCATCACGCTTCTGTTGTTGCTACAAACTTCTTAGAGAAATCTTTCAGCGCTTTGTTTTTCCCATTACTAAAGCAGGGAGAGTGATCAGGTGTCCTCCACAGGAACACTGTCTTGAACACTGTAGGGAAAGTGTTATAAAACTAAGCATATGTAAGAAATCTTTGTGTTTTGCTTGTCATATGTCGAGAGGATGTGACTCCACAACAGCCTTCCCTAGTGTTTCATATTTAATCACATAGCCTGTCTTTTTTTTACTTTCCTCCCATTTCCCCAGTATGGGAAAATCAGATTTTCTGGTCTTTAGTTCCCCATATCCCCTTGGAGAAATCTACACTACATTGCCTTATCTTCCATTTTTCTAGTACCAAGACCAATTTAAAGGATATTTAACACAGCACAGCAGTTTGACACTTTCATATTTGATCTCCTTTAGAACTCGTGAGTAAATACCCAAATATCCCAATAATTTGTTGCTACAGTTCATCTATTTTTTTCTAAAATCCTTCTCACTAACATGTTGATTTGAAATAATTCCTCCAGCTCATTCACAAACAGCAACTGACACAGAAAACTTCTGAAGTCCCATGATACGGAAAATCAAACCAAAGAATTCACCTAGCTTTTCCCCCATGGCCTTATCTTCTTTGAGCTGTTCTTTACTCTCTGACCAAGGTTTCTGGTCCCCCTAAGGGTGCTTTTAAAGGGCCCTCTCTTCATGAAGACATGAAGGATTTTCCCTAGATTCCCTAGATTAGGCCACATGTCTTCTGAGCCATCAACCTTTGAATTAAGCACTGAACAGAATTGCTGTATAGCAAGGATAAAGAAAAAGAAAGAAGTATTTTAAAGGGGAATGAATTACTTTCCTACACACCATGAGAATTTAATCCACGACACAAACTTTCAGTCAGCGTCCGCATGCATGCAGTACTCAGAGAACTTTCTAAACTATGCAACAAAATACAACACTCCTCTATGGAGTCAGATCCTGAGGCCCTAATTAAAAAAAAAAAAAATAAAAACAAAACCAAAAACTTGATTTCAATAGCAATCGTTTCTACCTAAACATGGCCAGTGCAACCATTCCACCTCCCCCCCACAAAAACCCTAAATGCAGGCAAGAAACATAACAAATCAGAACCTGCCTTAGAAGTTCAGGATTGGGTCCCATACTGTTTTCTATTTGAAGTTTGGCATTATAAAATAATTATTTCAGGACTGCGACCTTTTGTGCCAAGTTTCAGCCTGAAGCTGAGTTATTAACTGCAAGGGGTAGAAAAGTAAGGTATTTATAATGGCTCTGGCGGTACAACCTTCATTAGAACTGTGTGGATGGAGCTGCTATCAGAAAGACTTCTAAGTTGGTGAGTGAAATTATAATTTCTGTCATGTAGCACCTTGAGGCGAATTTTAAAACAATTATTTGTGAATGCTACAAAGACATTATCCTACAGCATTCTCATCAATAATACAGCCCCCTAAACTGATTCAGAAGAGGGAAAAACGCCATGATTCCAATTAAAGACAATAAACTGCACAGGCTGTATTACATCTCAGGTATCCCATGAGCCTATACTCTAGAAATGCCTTTTTTCTCTCTCTGATGACAGATATATATTAAAATGTCCTCTTGTCCACACAAAGTGGGGTTTTTTTTGAGCAAGCTTTTTCTTTTATGGAGGATAAATAAGCAAAATTCATATTCAGTCCAGCACCTGCCGAAGCTGTCAGCTGTAGTGTTTGTCATATTTCAATCAAAGCTGAATCCAGCCAGTCATTTTTATACTGCACAATCCCTACATACTCGAGGACCAGAATTAATGAATTAGCTATTGATTAAATTCCACTCTAGCAAATCCACCGTGGCAAATAAATGAACTACCCGGGGCACATGTAGGCCACGGCCAGACATGTCCGGGCAATCGATCAGTAGTTAGTATTCTTTTGGGATATAAGAACAGCTGATGATAATATGACATGTAGGAAAAGGCAGTGTAGAAACAGAGTGTGTTTCTGGCTGAGCAGATTATAAAGTAGGAAGGCATTTTTGATCCTTTTGCATTCATGTGTTATGACATATTTAGTCTATATATAATAGCAGAAACATGCATAAGTGTTTGCAGTACAGACAATACAGACAAAGGCATACATAAGTTAAAGCCAAGGGCAAAAGATGAGATCCTGAACTGAGTTCTTATCATCAAACAAGCTTTGACTATATCTGTACATGTNGAAAAATAGCAAGCTTAATTTCACCCTTATAGAGAGATAAATCCTGAATTCAAGCAAAATGTAGAAATTATAAACAGCAAACCAAAGTCCTTAAGAGACTGAAGAAGCAAGTCCATTTTGCTGGCCATTTCTGAAAGCTTAGATGCTAGATTTTTGTTATTTTTAGAAGTGGAAAATCACAGGAACAATAACATAAACACAGGAAGTTAACTACTTTATTGTTGGTGCAACTCTGAAAAATTGTTACCAAGTTTAGTTTTACTTTGTCTTTGGAAGATATTAACTCCCAAAGAATCACTGTATAAGTTACGATGTGGCTACTTCTAGAGACTGCAAATTTGATGCTCCTTTTTACAATTAAGAAGTTTGCCCATGCCTGTGGATGTAGTGGACAGGCAGATTGCAAACAGTGGTTCAAGGAGACATAGATATGCATGCCTTTTAAGATAGCTTACTAATTCTTACTGCTGTGATAGGTGACTTATTTTTACCTAGAATTATTCTAAGTTTCCATTATCAGCATCACATTGCTCCCTGAGCATTAATCTTCCTCTTCTTAACTGACAGCAAAATGTGATAATTTTCATTCCGCTATGCTTCTTCTCTTAACTATTTCTTATTTATTATCACAGCACAGCGATACCCAAATGGGTATGTACAACCAACCAAGGGTGAGACTTCTTCAATTGATCTTTTGGCAAAAAAACTTCAAGACCAAAAATAACACCCAGTAAAAATGCTTTCCAAGTGTATACTGAATTCTTTTATGCACCTTTTTCAATTTTGAAAGGACAACTTTACATTTTGTTCCCCATTCCAGCTACAAATCTCCTTGATATATAAAAGCCATCTATAGCATAGTACCTTGAGCCAATTACGTGAATAATGGGTGCTGACAGCTGCTTTGGCTCATCTTCCACAGTTGTAATCTGGGTCCCATTGCTTCTCACACAGGCATACACCGTGCAGGCTTCAATCTGATGAAGAAGAACATGAGTTTCACACACTCAGCTGCAGAAACTTTTCAGCTCCGCTACTTGTTTAGACTTTCTCTTCACCCAAGATATAATTCTTTTTTATTTAACAGACTCCGTAAAGCCAGGAAAATACTGCAGCTTTGAGATAAGTATATCTACCAGAGATATACTGCATTGTATCACATTTTCCCATACCATTTTCAAAAGAAGGGTATATGCAGCCCTCTGGCACTAATTGCTGTTTTCTATTAAATTATCGCCAACAGAGTTGCAGTGAATTTGTTTTTCTGCATGTATATGTAGACCCTGTTACACAACACTGAAAAAAATGTACTTTAATTTAGGGTCTTCTGTAAGTTTTCTACTCCTACCATATATCCTGACATAAAAATAAGGATAATTTTTCCTTAATATTTTCTATTCCTTCATGCCTACTCTGGAAATGAAAACTGAAAAATTTAAATAGGAATCATAAAATTTCTTAGGAAAAAATGCCACAGAAATACAAACTTATTACTCCAGTTCTTGAGATTAAACTAAGCAAAGGCAAGGTGAAATAGGTAGTGAAGGATTGTAGCACTGTTTCTGTATTGTCAACAGGGAAGTTACTCAAAATAAAAAAAGCATGAAAATGAAAGATAAAACGGTAAGATTGCCAGTGAGATGCACATGAATCCCAGATAATATTGTTTTCAGAAAAAGAAAAAAAAGAATCATAGCAAAAAAAAAAATAAAGGCGTCTTATTTTGGTTTTACCTATCACACTGATGCAAATATAAGTCCAGTATAAATACTAGAAAAGCAGAAGAGAAGAATAATTAACATCTCCAGCAACAGAAGGTGGCCATGGTAAATTAATATAGAGGGTCTATAAGTGAGGCAGTACACTGAATTTGCATTGTTATTGAGGAAAGACAAATGTGTTTCCAAGTGGCATTCAGAAAGTCATATGTGTATTCATGGGTGGAGGTTTGCTGCTTCAGAGGGGCTGGAACATGGAAATCTGTTACGGTATGCCTGTCTGTGATGTTTATTTATGGCATGTAGTAACTGGATGCAAATTTTCAGAATGGTACTACTAAGTTCGTCTCGTATATAATAATGCAAACCAAATTTTAATGGAATAGACAGGAATAGTTACAATTAAGAGTCAAACTGCATTTCTTGAACATATTAATAGAACTTCAGGATAGAAAGAGATTATTTCTTCTTTTTTATTTTGTTTCTGCACACAGTATTTTGCTTTTCAGTAGATATATGCCTAGAGAGGCAAAGATAGAGAAAGGGAAAAGCCACGTAAAATTATCAGCATAAAAAGTACTATGATGATTTCAGAGATCAGCTCTGATTCCTCCTCAGAAGGATAAAGAAAAAAAATGATACAAGGATGTCAAATGCGACATCATTATTTCACTGCACAGATATATTATGCATGCCTGATGTTTCTAAAACAATTGCAATTTTCTTTTAAAGAGTAGGAGTAGAATCTTTGCCTCTTTGCAATATATTTTGGGGCTTTGCTAATGTTTAAGCTCAGAGCATTTAGGGGAAAGTAAATGGAGTTTTGACGATTTGAAAAAGAGATAATGGAAATCTGTGTTATGAAAAGTCTACACAGACCAAAATATGCTGAAAATAAATTTATACCTTGTATGTATATGCACACAAAGATCAGTGCAAACATATGTCCACGTATGTAAAGAAATTCATGAAACGATATTCTGCTTGGAAATCCAAATACTTTAAGTAAAATATATTCTAACCTGTATATCATACACGGTGAATGGAGACAAATCTGCTAAAAGAAAGGATCCCGGTTCGTTCATTCCAGTCTTGTACTGCTTATTATTTACATAGACAGAGTACCCTGTGACAACACCATTCGGGTTTGAAGGCGATGTCCAGATGACACGTACAGCTGTACTGTTGATGATGACAACCTCTGGAGGGAACATGCCCTCAGGCTCTAGAAATAAAGGAAGAAACTGAATAAACTCCAGCTGTCTCTGCAAAAGCACTTGTTTAACCAAATGCAGATTAGTATTTAGGTTTAGCAAAGGGTTCACTGCTTATCTGCTTTCCTCTGATGAAGTTATCACAGTCTGTAGTCTTCTGTAAATTGGCTTATTATACTCTCAGTTAGAAATCATGAGAGCTGATGGTAAAATGCTTTATACCAGCAGCATAGTGTCAATCATCAGTAGTATGTGGCCAGTAAGATATGATGATAAATTATTCACCCATCTGCACTGCCAACATGCAAATATTATTTTTATGTCTCCACAATCCCAATTCTTCCAAAAAAAAGAGAGAGAAAAATAGAGAATTTTAAATAAAAACCTGAGACCAAAATACCTTATGTCTGGTGGAACGTGACATTATCAGCCTTATAGCTGAAGCAATATGAAGCAATATGCAATATTATCATTATGTAAATGGTTTAGAATGTTGATTACTATAGGTAATGATGAAGTCTAACACTTATTTAAAAAAAAAAAGAAAAAACCAACACCTTCCTCAGCGTTAAATTACATAATTATCTAAGCATGTCAGAAATAACCATGCAAAGACCTATTTTTATCATAAGAACCCATCTTTACCAGTTGAAAAATTGCCCTTATGATCAATTCTATTTTATAAACAAAAGGTGTTGACCTTTGGCATGAGAAAGAAAATGGAATCCTCCCTTAAAGTGCTTTGCTAATGACCTGGAACACTTGCTTCTGAGGTAATGATATTATAATGTTTATAATGAGACTTTATAAAGCAAAAAGATTAGAAAGACCATTCTAAACACATTTCAGATGCACAATTTTTTTATTATTATTTTATCCTCAACCTCTACCCCTAGCCCTGTACTTGCCCACTGGCACAGAAATGACTCGAAGAATTTTCTTAGAGGCTGAACTTATACCTAGAGTTTCTAGTGACTCAGTAAAGGCTCTGTGCATGACTGTCATGTCAAAATCATATTGCTTCACAGAGCAAATCTTTTAAAAAACCCATTAATTGTTTCTAAATTCCACCATTTATTGATATGAACTCAGTTGCAAACTTAGGGCACACATATAGGAATATGCAGGAGAAGATGAGAACAAACTGGGTTAATATCTGCTATTAGAGCTTTTCCTTCTGTCTCAGTGGGACCATTTATTGATCTACCACATGATGACAACCAGCACTTAAGCATTTTAGCGTTTTAGACCTTTTTCCCTTTATACCGGAAATTTTATAATGGAAGGATGACTGATCTCAACCCTAACAAAAATCAATCAATTTCATTCTCGGATTTTAAGCCAAGCTGCATTCACTGCTAACCAACCTCCATCTGAGGTAGTCACATGCACAACTTCACTGTTGATGCTGTGGACTCCATTAAAAACTTGAGAAAATATCTGATACTCTGTGTTGGGCTGCAAATCACCTATGATTATAGAGTTTACATCAGCCTGGATCCTTAGAGATCTTCTCTCATCAGTAGAATTCAGGAAGAGGGTATAATACACAACATCTCCTTGCAAATCCTGTAGTGCTAGGAAAAGAAAGGAAAACCATTGGAACATCAACTGGGAAACATTCAGTCAAAAAGTTTCTTATCAACATCTATTGTGAAGAGTAAAACAAATTTTATGCAGACCCTTTTATGTAAAAAAATAGGAAAGTTTCCATCAAGTGCCTTCAGTTTCACCCTTGTAAGCAGTGATGCAAACTGCTCTTCCTAATTTGTCAAAGTTGTTAACAGTCCATCATCCTATCCAACACTACAGAAAGCTTTCCTTCTCTAGGCATCCCCATGATGAAATGGAATATGTGAAGTAAACAAATTAATAGGTGAAACCCAATGCAAGCAGTGGTGTGCAGGCCTTGCAGCTTGTTGTTGCAAAAGGATGCCTTTCACCCAGATCGAAGGAAGAGAGCAAATCAGATTGCTCCATGGAACTCGTGTAAGATGGAAACCTCAAGGATCTTTTCCTTTTTGCCCCTTCTCTTCAAACAACATTCCCCCACCCCACCCCGCTCCCGTGTTAATTCTTGAGCCATGAATAAAGGACCAGTGCCTATGCCTTAAATTCTAGTGATATTCAACTTTACATAGATTGCCTTTTGGCCTTAATGAAAATGAAAAGCTGTGTTATTATTTTAGAACAAACATGATCATATCATCTACATGTAAAGCTGTAATACACTCAGAAGCATTATATATGCAGGGGAAAAAAACAAATTCTCACATTTCTTCCTAAAATGTGTTTTACCCAGCACTAACTTCCTCAGAGAAAGAAAATAAAAAACAATGTAATTTTCTGGCTACACAGGGAAGGACATTCACTGATCTGAGCTGATGGATAAACAACGAATACAGGCAAGTCTTCTCCACTTTAGCAACTGAGATGTCATCTGTTACCTTATCTGTCGTTTGTCAAACAGTTTAAGTTCAGATCTGATCAAATGCAACTGCTTTTCCAGTAAGCATCGAGATGAAAAGAATAATTATGACAAAAACTTTAAGCACTAACACATATTGCTTTAGATGACACGCTGTACCACTGAACAGGACTCAGCTCACTGGGAAACAGCAATGATAAAAGCCAAAAGCATATTTACAGATTCAATAATACATGGTTTTGTCATTGAAATCCTTAATCAAGAATGACATGCTATTTTTAAGTGGTACAGCTACAAGTTTTAAATCCTTAGAAGTTAAAAATCTCCAGTAGGGAAAAGAAAGATAGCAGGGTAACTTATGCTAAGGGCTCCCAAGTTCCCAAAGAAAACATAAAAATAATTTGAAAACTAATATTATGAAAAAAATGAAACATGGATATACAGATAGTTTATATGCTTATTGCAACATAAGAAGTCATAAAATATGATAAGGTTTTCAAATAGTGAATGGCCTTGTCTTGGTGTTAAACTTCTGCATTTACAAACATATATGGAGGAAATTTCTAAGGTATGAATGAAAATAAAACCAGATTGCATTACCTACATCTAGAAGGTCAGGGGTTTAGATTACTAAGGTAATGAAACTTCAGTGAGCTGCTTCAGATCTATTACATTTGTCAGTTTTTATAAGCATTGCTTACTTCAGGCATGCAATTATAAAATAAAGAGACTACATTTGTTGCAATTCAGCACCCAGTCCTTACAAAATCATTTGCATGTAAGTCATGAAGAAATTCCCCACCGCTGTATTAGCAAACCAACTAGAGAAATTGGCTAAATTCATTTTAAGAAGCAGAGCAAAAAGAAAGACAAAGAGGGTCCTCACATCGTGAAGGAATGTATATGTAAATTTTTATACAAAGAGATGAAATAGACCACAAAGACTACAGGATTTTTGTGTAGTACTGCTTTATAGATGTCTCATGAGTTTCCATTAACTATTTCTTCACTTTCACTATTCTCGTTCCACAGAAAGAGCATATAATAAATATGAACAAGACTGAGAAACAGCAAAATGTGCACTTTTTTTCCCCCCTGTTTCTTTCCTCTCTTTTCAAGGACATTTAGGAATATTATAAATCAAGACAAGGACTGTGTTTCCTGCGAGAGCAAGGCAGACCAATGTAAGTGACGGCAGGTTACCATCTAGTTACTGGAATAAATACTAAGCACACTTACTTGGTTTTGACCATTCGACTTGTACAGCAGTATGATTAACAGCACGTGCAACGAGGACACTTCCTTTCTCTGGTAATCCTGCTAATGTAGTAGTTACCACTTCTTCACTCGGTGTATATCCTACCTCGTTGTGCACTATGAGCTTGTACTCGTATGTTGTGTACCTAAGGCATTTTAAAAATAATGAAATGGAATGAAAAATGCAGACATAGAAAATATTTGCTGTAAACCTTCTGTCTGTGCCAAAGTTTTGTGGTTAGTTCTCCTCCTGTAACAAAATTCAGCCGCATGATGTGCACCAATGAAGACTTTATAAGAGGCATCTATTTTTTGCAAATAAGTCAGCACGATTAACACGGTAACGAAAATAAAACACATTATTTCACTTCTTCATAGTTGTAGCTTCTGAGGTGTTGAGAGATTATAGCTCAATTCAATATGTAATTACAGCAGTGGCAACCTGCCAAAATTTGGATCAGAATTTAATCAAATGAGGCTTTTTTTCTCTTTTGGGAAACCCATTGATTTTTAACTTGCAGAGTCTCATTTGTAAAAGAGATTCTCCACACAGTCAGGACTCTTCTACTACAAAAGCATCCAAAAAAAGCTCCTAGGAGTTCAAACTCATTTAATAACGTAATTTCTTCAGAACTGTGTATATTCCACTTACATAGATTTATGAAATCCTACGTGTGTATTTAGTAAACCAAGTAAGTGACTGGCACTTCATCATTATATCAAAGGCATATTAATGTATTTTAAGTGGGATTTCATAATCTCAAATTTAATTTCCTCATAAAAAGCCTCACACAAAACTACACAAGAACTGAAACTCAGGATCATCTTCACATTTTCACTGAAGCTGCAACACGTTGGGATAAATGTCTACAAATACAATAAAGGAACATAGAGTTAATGCCTAATATTTAGAGGGTTTAGTGTGAAAAGTCACTCACGGTGTATGTTTAATTCATTTTACTTTTTAATATTTACTTTTTTTTAGACACTTTACTAAACACCTCGATTTTCAAAAGAGCTGAGCTTTAATACTCCCACGAGAAGAAAGCAAATTAATGGGAACTCACTAGCTCCACCTGTAACTATAAGCATTGAGGAACAGTGACAATATACATAACACATCTTATTTCTCTCTTTGCAAGTGTATTATTTTCTTGGACACTGTAGCACACATACAATAAAAAAATGACTGCAAAAATATAGCTGCAGGTTGCAGAACCCTCCCCAAAAGAAGTGTTCAGGTGTGTCCAAGGGCTAGGCACACTTTTCTGGCCACAGCTCATTCAACCCAACACGTCACTGTGCCTAATGACTGATCACTTGGACCTTGTCAGAATGTATTGCCCCCTCTGAACTGGTAACATAACTGTCTATGCCACTGAAATGAGCCAAACTAAAACCAAAGAAAACTCTATGTAGAATTTCAAACATGGTTGAATGAAAGAAATGGACACTTTGGCAGGATTGATACAAGAACAGCTCCATGATCAGTTATTGCAACAGACGGAAATGAGAAGTGACTTTCAGCAAGTAGGCAATGACAAGCCAGAGGCAGTAGCCCTTGGCTTGGTTCAGTCTATACAATGGTAGGAGCAGAGGTCACATTCTCCTGGTTCACGTTGTGCTCAGGAGGGACACTCACACAATTTTTACAGAAGTAAGAGGCAAGTTCAGATATTTGAGGGCCAAAGATATACAGCTCTTAAAGCACGCCAGCACACAAGCACAGAGAACACTCATCCTGAAAGCATCCATGAGGGTTTTCCCAAGACTTCACCTACTAGAAACCCAATAATTTATGTTTAATCTTCCATTACAATTTCTTGATGTGTTTGTTTGCCTTAAAGAACAGCAGCCTTGACTTCAAGATGCAGAAACTAAGTTTGGTCAAGAGAAAATGTCTTGCTCTACACTACACAATAAGCACTGCTACATACTGAGGAACAGAACACTCACTCAATTTCTCCACTCTCAACACTCTGCATTTAACTATGGTGAAGTTAACACAACAAAACCAGGTAAAAAAAGAAACATTGCTGAAACCAAGTTGCAAATGTCTCCCATCTAGGACTTCTTGAACATCCATTCTGCCTGTGCTCTGACTTTGCCAACACACAAATCTAGAGTACATGTACACATAAATTTAAATGGTTTGATTGCATGAGCATATCAATGCTAAAATTTCACAAGATTTTTATTTTCATTTGTTTTTCAGAGCAAAACAATATATGAGTCAAGAATGACAGACTAAGAATAAATCCCTGCATATTAGAATGATTAATACCAAAGATGATGGCAAAAAATATTTCATTACATAATTAATATGTTCACTACATAAAGACACTAGAAATACTTTGAACTATTAAACATACACTATACAAAATGCCAGCATTTGTTTTTATAGTTTTTGTAATCTCACCTGCTAAGACCCTTATCTTCATAAAACCACTGAGTTCCTGAGTAAATATTGTGCCACAGATTTAAATCTTCAGGGGGATTTGATGCAAGTGGTTGCTGGATTTTACGTCTCAGGAGCTCATATCTAACACAAAAGACAAGCAGAACACCAGGATTATCTCAACTAATGTTATTACACAAAAAAAAAAAAAACCCAACCATTTTTTTTAAAGCCACACATTATTTTGTTTTTACAGCTGTAAACTTTCTGAGATAAACATTCTTTTTAATGTTTCATGATTTAAAACATTCAATTACTTAAAAAAAACCAAACCCTACTTTGAAAATGGAAAATGAAACACTTCCATTTGAAAAAAAATTAGTTTATTTAATGATTTACAGATTTTAATCTTTGTGGAAATGTTATGAAGATCAAGTCCAAACAGCCCCATAACAGTATCTTATGCAGACTTGTATGATATTCACAGGTTATTCCAGAATATGAAATGATAAGGCATCTTTCTTGCAGATGTACTGCAACATATAGCATTGCAATTACTATTTTACTGGTAGTAGCAACTTAAGTGTGCCTTTGTACTTAATGTGCTTTTGCAAATAACCACAGTGCAAATTATGGGTAAAAACAGGCACAGAATGAGTTAACTGATTTTGATCCATCTATAGGCCTTAGCAAGGCACCTTTGTATTTGGGTAGACATTCATGATGCGAGAAAGAACCCTGAAAGACCAAACTATTTCATCCTGGTTTTAATTGTTATCTGAACCTCTATTCCTGTCTCTGTTCCAAACAGCAGGTCAGCCAAAGCCCATCTTTCATCAGGTCAGCCATGAGACTGCCTGATTTGGAAAAGACGCTTTTCACCAAGGCTGCATCACACACTTTTTCATCATCTTTTACACAAAACCTTCATGGAATTTAACAAAAATTAAACCATTTAATGTCTACACAAACTAAAGGGGATAGAGAGTATTATAGTTTGCATTTCCTAATTATTCTAGCAGATTACATAGGAAACTATACTCTAAAGGAAACAAAATTAGATATATTTGTTAAAAATCTTTAAGATTATTATTCCTTATTGCATTTCACAGGACATTTTAATTTTTTTTGTTCTGTTTGATAGTGGTGTTTTATTTGTAAAGCGTCACATGTTTGTACCCTTCCTACCAGCTATAGAACCAGTCTGGATTTGCTTTCAATGGTGAGCTGCAGTTTTAATCAAACTATTGTTACAACAGTGTTTCCACTCATGCCCAGCAAATTAGGGTCATATGCATATATTCATTTAAATACACAACTTGATTCTCTGAAGTGCTGAGCTGCTGTGCTTCATCCTGTCCCCACCCCCCATTTTGGAAAGCTGCTACTGTTAAATTCTAGACAAAAGTATGTAGATACTCAGACAGATCTTAAAGGCTGTCATTTCAAGTGTGTATTTGTGAAAATGTTTCCCTGTTTAAGTATTCTGCAGAATACCTCGGTGTGGGTCAGCACTCTGCTGCAATGATCACGCTGATCAATGGCTTCATGTGTAATTTGACACTTTTTAATGTTAAGATCATCTCCAGTTTGGAGAGGAAATGTTGGACAATACCATTCCAGATTTGAAACCCTGAATTAAGAGGTATTTAACAGGTACTGTATACAGTGATCTTGTATTCCTTCAAAACCAGAAATAAACTGAGATGCTCTTTTATAAGAGATATGAGGCTTCCTGTGCTCCATGGCAGGTAGGATGTACGTGCGCAACTTCCAACAACTTTCAGCCTTGAATTTAGGGAATAATCCTCAACAGGTACAAGCAAGCATTGTGCCACTTAGTGATGCCAAACCAAATTATTGCAGAAATTGGGATTATAACTTTAGAAATTAAACAGTAAAAACTAATGAAACTCAAACTCTGTCAAAAAAAATCAGATGACTTTATAACAAGAAGAGCTCTCACATGAGTGGTTCATTAGTGTCAGTCCAAAGACAGATCGTTACAGTTTTATAGGAAACAATCCTGGCATATTCTGTCCAGTATATTTCATAGAAGAGTCATGAAAAACATCAAATTTTTTTGAATGCTGAGTGCTGATCATGTGTAAATCACCCCCACTGGCAGCTGCTGCTGCTACTCTGCTTGCTGCAGACTTCTTGTTCCATCATGCTGTACAGAGCAGCTGCTTCAGTAGTTGTTCTTGTTGAGGGCAGCATGGCACACCATGAAAGAAATGAAATCTGCAGATGTAGGTCGTGCTGATTTACTTCAATAATCTATGGTAAAATGGTCATGTTGTTAACCCCGGAATAACAGGGACCGCTTTTCTGAAACTTCAAATTTTACTGTAGAACAATCATCGTTTCATTCAGTTGTAGTGTGCTCTAATTAAGCCTGAAGAAAAAGTCAAGCTACTGTGCTGTAATAACATACGCAACTGAAATGGCATTACATGATAATTATTGAACCCATCAGTGCACCTAGAAGAGAGCTAGCAACCAGAACATATGGAGAGAGCTATAATTCCATGCACAGTGTTTCATGATACGTTAAAGCACTAGAAGGAAAGATTTGACATTTTTTATTGGGTATATATAAAGATATATTTGTCTTTATAAACCTTTATGCACTCAAATCCATATTTTTTTAATGTATATCTACACGCACGCACTCAGTAATCAACATTTAAATCAAGATCCCCATTCCAACATTGCAGAAAAATCTCAGAGGAGATGCCTTTCTTTGGTTCCTGTGGTGAAATCTAGCCTGCTATATTCAGCACTTATTTGTATTTCCTATTTTGGCTATGCATCCCTAAATTCTAGGATTTTAACTTCCATTTTTCTCATGCACTGTCTCATTTATAACTTATTCATCACTTAAGTTTTGAAGATTATTTTCATCACACTTCCAAATGGTCACTTTCTTTTCATGTGGAATAACCCACATAGAGTATTGAGAATACTCATATTTACAGAGATCTCATATTTTTCTCATTTTGTCAGTGGAACTTGTTGCCTGAACTCATCACCAAAAAGTGGCTGATGCTGCAGCCCAAATTAGTTATGACTTTGCAAATATCCTGTGCTTACTACTTCTGGCTTTTCAAACAGCACTGATCTGAAAGACCCAGAGCCTTCCAGCACAGACAACACACTTGCTCTTTGCTGAGCCCTAAAGAGAAACTTCAAAATGTCAGAAATTAAGAGATCACAACACAAAGCTTGCATCACTCAGAATTTTCTGAGTTGGATTTAGGTATGGAAAAGACAACTGCTATTTCAGCTGCAACTTACCTCAGATAAGGACCATTTGGCCTTAGTGGTGGTTGCCAAGAAATGGCTATAAAGGACTCACTGATTGGAGTCACAGACAACGGACTAACACTCTGAGGAATGGTTGAAGGTGTCGTCACTCTCGTAGGTAAACTCTCCGTGCAGCCTCCTAGAAAGCCATCACCTCCAGTACAAGCTATTACAGTGACAGAGTAGTTTGTATAGGGTATAAGATTAGTCACCAGATGACTTAACCTTGAGGAAGGGTTCCCAGTAATGACAATTCGTGGATCAGGCATGCGAATCTCATAATTAAGGATTTCTCCATTCTGTATCAGAGGAGGTTTCCATGAGACCTGAAGGAGGAGGGGGGGGAAAAATAATTAAAATAACAGATTTCAGAAATACAGACACAACATGTTACAGATGGACAGAAGCGGGATTTGAAGATGTTCTTTTCCTTCTTCATCAAAATAGACTTTTATTTTTAAATGTACATCAGTTAGAAATCTAATCTCCTTTAATTTTAGTGAGATTTGCAGTAGCAGTTGTAGCCATTGAAAAATCTATTTTGTTTCACCAGTAAAATGTGAATGCTCCATGTCACTCAAAATTCCATGACACGTTCAGATACATTAGCAAAAGTTTTTATTATAGGTATCACTGTCACTTACTTTCTTAAGGTGTATTACCTGGTGTGCTCATCTATTAGTGGCAGAGTAAAACCAAATCTTATTTTGTGTTTGCACAATTTTCAGAAATATATAACTGCATTAGCTCCTATAAGAAAACAGATTTTCCGGCACTCTTTGTATGAGGAAATATGCAGGTTTTTCCTTTTATTATTCATTAACAAATTACACTGGTAAGTATCAGACAAAGAAGAGGCACAATTTTCCATTTTAAAAGCTATAAAATTATACTGAGAAAACTTTATCACAAAAAGATTGAAAATTGCATACAGAATTAATGTTTTTTATATATTTATATATATACATACACACACACATATGTATACATACGCATACTGCTACTCTCACTGTGGTTTTACTTTTACTAAACTGAGGTTAGGTGGGGTTTTTTTTAAGTTTTGTTTTTTTTTTTAAAGCACATTGTTATATATATTTATTCTTACCGGCTCCACTGAGGAATCACTCAAATCATTGCACTATAAAGTGCAAGATGGTTCTAAATTCTTTTTTAAGGCTTTCTGCCATGGTACCACAACAGAGGGGACTTCAGACTGACACAATAACGGCATGCAACTGTATTAAGAATCTTAAACTTTCATAAAGGTAGTGTAAAAGCATCTATTCATCCTTCTTTCCCTAGAAGTCCCAGTGCAGGAACCACAGCAGCTTTGCTTTGCTCTGAGGCTGTTTTCCTTGCCATTCACCCACTAAACTATAATAATTGCTGCCTCTCTTCCTCCCAAGCACGGGATAATTAAGGATTGAATCCAACATAGCAAAGAACATAGAAATGGAGAAAATCTAGATATGCATAGATATGCACAAAACCTAGGTTTGCACAGAACAAAATGAAGAAAGACAATATTGAAGTGTTAAATAGTAATACCAAGATACTTTAGTATCAGTTATTTTGATTTTTTTCCTTAATTCTCTCCAGTCTCCGAAATAAGCATCTTTTAAAATGTATATGCACAATTACACACAGCTATGGAAACAGAGAAGCTTGATTTATGAAATGATTTTTTAAAAACCCTTGGGGATTACAAAATGTTATATCTTAGGTACAGAGGGACCTCTTGGGCCATCAGACTTGTAAGAAACCTGGCAGCAAAGTGCAGGAGAAAGCTGAAGGGTTTTGATAACAGAATCTGGAATACTATTAAACAGAGAATTAGAAACAGGGTGATCTTGAGTAAAGGCAGGAAAACCAAGATTATTGGTGCCCACATAGGAAAGGCTTAGCTCTGGCTAATTATCAAATGCTCTATTCAGATTTCTGTTACTTCTGGCCCCAAATCATGATCAAACAAATAAAGAACATACTAATGATAAAGCAATGAAAAATTTCACAGAAGGTAGGAATTGATTCTGTACCATTTTGATAGACACTGAGCAAATCTCTCATTTTGAAGTAGTTCATGTAATCTAGTCATAAGCCTAGGAAACGGAAAAGAATGGATGATTAGCACAGACAACAGAAAAGGTTTTCAAGTACACCTCTGTACTGGGTTTGGCTGGGAAGAGCTATCTTCATAGCAGCTACTGCGAGGCTGTTTTGGCTTTGTGCTGAAAACAGTGTTGATAACAAAGAGATGTTTTTGTTATTGCTGAGCAGTGTTCACAAAGCATCAAGGCCTTTTCTGTCTCTCACCCCCGTAACGGAGCAAGAGGCAAAGGACATAAGTAGAAACAAGGGAAGCAAATGCAAATAAAAGTAAGAGATACATAATCAGAAATTGCAACGGTGCACACACAGGCTGTACAATCCTTGGACATGCGAGGATGGAGAATTTGATATAAAAATTTAACTGGACACTGCCCTGAGCTGCCTGCTGAGGGTGCACAAAGAATTGAGAGGGGACACAGCTGGGACAGCTCACCCCAGATGATGAAAGGGATCTCCCATACTACATGGTATCATGCTCAGTTTATAAAGCTGGCGGGAGAAGAGAGAAGGGGGTATGTTCGGAGTGATGGCATTTGTCTTCCCAAGTAACAATTATATGTGATGGAGCTCTGCTTTCTTGGAGAGGGCTGAATATCTGCCTGCCTGTAAGAAGTTGTGAATGATTTCCTTGTTTTGCTTTGCTTGTGCATGCAGCTTTTGCTTTACCCGTTAAACTGGTTTTATACCAGCCCACAAGTCTTCTCACCTTTACTCTTCCAATTATCTTCCCCATCCCACTGTAGAGGGAGTGAGCAAGTGCCTGTATGAGGGTTGGTTGCTGGATGGGGTTAAACCATGACAAGGTAGAAAGCATTTAGGTCAATAAATTTCAGGTGAGATTTTTTCCAACTCCAGTGCTTTTTGTTGCTACCATACTGCACACACTGGATGCATTGTCTGTGTCACAGAAAGAGGGGAATGGGCATGATTCACTTTTAGTTTCAGGGACATCTCTTTGAAGCTGCTGGAAGAAGCACAGATGATTTTTAAGGTCGGACACATCACAGCAAAACACTCACATCTGCAACCATGATTATGTTAATGTTGTTTGAGGTGTAGCACCTATCCTAAAATTCTGCCTCAGTGAAGATAATATATTTGCAGTCTTTTTTAGGAATATTAATAAAGAAAATCTGGTGAAAAAAGCCTTCTTACTTGTTGCTTAATGCAAGGCGGCTTCTAATAAAAGAACTGTATGCCAAATACTTTGGAAAATTCCTAGTCATACTCTCTCAGAAGAGAAAATTGTCTAAAAACATTCACCTTGTACCAAATCTGTTGTGGTTTAACTCCAGCCAGCAGCCGAGTACCATGCAGCCACTCACTCACTCCCCCACCAGCAGGATCAGGGAGAGAATAGGAAGGGTAAAAGCTAGAAAACTCATGGGTTGAGATAAAGACAGTAATATGAAAAGCAAAAGAAGCCATGCACACAAGCAAAGCAAAACAAGGAATTAATTCACTGCTTCCCATGGGTAGGCAGGTGTTCAGCCATCTCCAGGAGAGCAGGGCCCCATCACACGTAACAGTGACTCGGGAAGACAAACGTCATCAATCCAAACCTTTCCCCTGTTCCTTCTTTCCCCTAGTTTTATATACAGAGCATGAGGTCATATGGTTGGGAATATTTCTTTGATCAGATGAGGTCAGCTGTCCCAGCTGTGTCTCCTCCCAACTTGCCAGGCACTCCCAGTCTCCTCAGCAGCATGACAGTACAAACAGCAGAAAAGGTCTTGGCTCTGTGCAAGTCCTGCTCAGCAATATCAGAAACATCTCTATATTATCAACCCTTTGTTCAGCACAAATCCAAAACACAGCCCCATAACTAGCCACTGTGAAGAAAATTAACGCTACCCCAGCTGAAACCAGCAGAAAAATCTTATTTCCTGGAAGAGAGGGTGAGTTATTTTTTAATCATATTTCATTTTAGATGCCTAATTTTTATGTCTAAAACCAAAATATTACTCTAATACAACTTGTGATAGATTCACCATATACTGTAACCCCTTCACATAAAGGAACAGATTAATAACATGGCAGGAGAACAGATGCTACTCCAGAACCTCGGCTCCTGAGTTTTATAGTGTGTGTATTAGCTGGTATGCTTGAAAAAACTCCCAGGTGTTACTTCACCGCAAGTGTTGTGCACTAGCAGATAGAATATCTCATACTGAAAGTAACAGAAATGCTTCATGGTTTTACACCGGGAAATTTCTTTTTTTTTTTCCTAAGAGAAATGAAAACCAATATGAACAAGAAATTATTCAGCCAGCAGCACATACAGTGCAACTTATTTTTGTCTGGTCGTGGATATCTTATACTTAGATACATAGATCAGTTGTCACTTTGGTTAGTATATTTTGAACTAGATAATGGGGATGACCAAGGGTACTTCCAGACACTGCTGTGTCACTTGACCTGCTTAGAATTATCTATGTCACCTGGGAATGACAGGACACGCAATCCTTCACAAACATCTCTTGTCAAGAGCCTGACCCATACAGTGTAAATGAAGATGATGGAGACAGCCTGATTAACACACGTGGCACTACTGGACCTCTTCTCCACTTTGATGTGCCAAGGTTTGAGGTAAGAGCTTGGCAATGCATGAAAGAGGGAAAGCTCACTAGACAGGCTGTGTTGGAAGCAGTAACAGTTTGTTCATTGATTTGAAGCTCAGCACTGAGACCATGAAAGAGGATGCCCATGAGGAAGAGAGAATAAGGTAACTACTGGGAGAGATTAACTGATTCAATGTAATGACTCTGGAAGCTTTCATTTAAAGATCAAAGGACCTTATTTTCTCCACCACAAAATTTAAAGAGACAGAAATTAGTCATTTTCTCCCCATTAAACAGTTATAACCTTGGAATTTTTTTTCCTTTTTTGACAGCAGTTGGAACCCTGCAACTTAATTCTGAGCTACGTGAAGAGAGGCATTGGCACATGTGTAGCTATTTTACTGTTCAGGCCTGGCTTCGACAGTTTGCTTTTAAATCAGCATGTTTGGCTTCATTTTATTCTCATTTCTCCTAGCTATTGCTTGTAACATCTACAAACAGAATGTAATAAATACACTACTGAGAGCTTTTCACTGTTGGTCCCAAAGCACACTGTAAGTCTCAAATTGCAAATATTATTATTCCAGTTTTAGAGATGTAAAGACTAAATCTGAGAATAACTCACATATCACAAAAAAGCAAAACTCAAAAAAAAG